CAATTAGAGCACGTGATTGGGTGTCGGATTATAGATTTTCCGGGATACGGCGGCACTCTACCCATTCCTGGGTGGGCCGTGGATTGGATCCGATGAGGTTGGCCAACTAGAGCACGTGATTGACGCTCGGATTATAGATTTTCCGGGATACGACGACATTCCACCCCTCCTGGATGGGCCGTGGACTGGATCCGATGGAGTTGGCCAATTAGAGCACGTGACTGGGTGTCGGATTATAGATTTTCCGGGCTACGGCCGCGCTCTACCCATTCCTGGGTGGGCCGTGGATTGGATCCGACGGGGTTGGCCAACGAGAGCACGTGATTGGCTGTCGGATTATAGATTTTCCAGGCTCCGGCGGCATTCCACCCCTCCTGGATGGGCCATGGACTGGATCCGATGGAGCTAGCCAACTAGAGCACGTGATTGAGTGTCGGATTATAGATTTTCCGGGCTATGGCGGCATTCCAGGATGGGCCGTGGACTGGATCCGATGGAATTAGAGCACGTGACTAGGTGCCGGATTATAGATTTTCCGGGCTACGGCGCACTCTACCCACTCCTGGGCGGGCCGTGGATTGGATCCGATGGGGTTGGTCAACGAGAGCACGTGATTGGCTGTCGGATTATAGATTTTCCAGGCTCCTGCGGCATTCCACCCTTCCTGGATGGGTCATGGACTGGATCCGATGGGGTCAACTACAGGATTACGTAATACTCGGATTATAGATTTTCCGGAGGCTTGGCTAATCACGTGACACGAGGGCCCGAGGGTTGGGGCTGTGGACTGGATCCGATGGCGCCAGAGTCGTCGGATTATAGATTTTCCGGATCCCGAGGGGTCGGCAATCACGTGAATCGTCGTACGGCCGCATGTGTGCGCCGCCAAGAGTTGCCAAGACCAGGGTGGCCCGCTCAATCACGTGATGTCTCGAGCGCAAGCAAGCCTGGGGGTTTGGGGTGCTTGCCCTCAAAAAGACAAAAGCTACGCTTTCACCCCCCGCGGAATATCCTGTCCGCGGCCCCTAGTTTTCAAAATCTTGGGCTCAAGAGGGACCAACGGTGAGTCGTACAAGGCTCCCTGTTTGATGCCGAGGCTGACCTTCGACTCCCAATTGCCCGCACAGGGGAGCATTGAGATGGGAGGTGAATCTCCGGAATGCATACGGCGGATGATTAGGCGGGGTAGTGCACTACACGTGACATTGCAGATTTTATTGCGTACTATCCGAGCCCGGTTAATACCTGGCCACGAGGGGGACTCTCGATTCTGATTCGTGGTTGCCCCCGTGCTCCAATGCCCCATCTGACTCGAGTGGGGGGAAGGGAAATGCACCTTCTCGTTGCACTGCTGTCTGTCTTGCTCCAAGCTTCAAAAACCTTTTCCTAAAGCTTCCTCTCAGAATACCAAAAAGCACTGAGCACTCAATTTCTTTCTTCTTGCAGCAAATTTGATCTATATGGCCCACAATCTACATCTTTGATATCGAAACTCGCCTCTGCATATCTTCCATCAGTATGCGTTTTGGCAAGACCCTCTCCGACTCCATCTACCCCCCTTGGAAAGACAAATACCTCGAATATGACAAGATCAAGAAGCTGCTACGTGAAGATGAGACCTCTCCACAAGGTCGTGGTGGTGAAGGCAGCTGGACTGAGCAAGATGAGGAAAACTTCGTCCACGAGCTCACCGTCGTTCAATTGGAAAAGGTCAACCAGCATCAGATTGACACCTTCAATGCCATTCGAGATCGAGCCGCGGCCTGTGAGGCCAAGCTTCCGACCCCCGAGAAAGATGACTCTGGAAGGACGGAAGAGGAGTGGAAGGCTGTTGCACAGGACACTCTGGAAGAGCTGGATAGCATATCAAAGGAACTGAACGAACTTAAGAAGTTCAGTCGAATCAACTACACTGGCTTCTTGAAAGCCGCTAAGAAACATGACAGGAAGAGAGGCCTCAAATACAGAGTGCGTCCGATATTGCAGGTCCGCTTGTCTCAAACACCTTTCAACCAAGAGGACTACTCACCCTTGCTCTTCCGCCTGTCTGCCATGTACTCCTGGGCTCGTCAGAAGCTTGACGGAGAAGAAGCTGCAGCCAAGGTAGCTGAAGCAGACACCAAACCCAAAGACACCTACACGGCACACAAATATTGGGTGCATGTCGACAACCTTCTGGAGGTCAAGACGTATATTCTCCGTCGCCTCCCAGTCTTGGTCTACAATCCACAATCCATGAAGGTGGTCGACTCCTCACAGAATGAACCCACCATTACGTCCATCTATTTCGACAACCACAACTTCGATCTTTATCAAGACAAAGTGGAGAAGAGCACGGCTGGAGATTCAGTTCGACTTAGGTGGTCTGGCCTGCTCAACGACAAGCCCGAGATTGTCCTCGAGAAGAAATCCGTTGGGGAGGACATCGAGAGCAAAGACATCCGAATTTCCCTCAAAGAGAAATACATCCAGCCCTTCCTCAAGGGTGAATACAAGATGGAGAAACAACTCCAGAAGCTCGAAGACCGACTGGGGCCCGACTCCGAAGAAGTCAAGGCTTTCAAAGCCAACGTCGAGGAAATCCAATCTTTCATCAAGGACAAAGATCTGGAGCCGGTTCTACGGGCCAGCTACACTCGGACGGCCTTCCAAATCCCTGGTGATGACAGAATCAGGATCTCCCTGGACACCGACCTGGCCTTCATTCGTGAAGATGCAATGGACCCTGATCGCCCATGCCGTGATCCAGATGACTGGCATCGATCAGACATTGACGACAATGAGATGCAATATCCATTCCCGTCCATCAAAAAGGGAGAAATTAGTCGATTCCAACACGCCGTTCTCGAGATCAAAGTCAAGGACACCAAATACACTCGAAATAATACGTGGCTTCATGATCTCATGAATTCGCACCTTGTCAAAGAGGAGAAGAGGTTCTCCAAGTTTGTGCATGGTGTTGCCGAGCTTTTCGAAGATTATGTCAACAGCTTCCCCTTCTGGTTGAGTGACCTGGAGACCGACATCAGGAGAGATCCTGTAACTGCCTATCAGGAAGAGCAAGAAAGGGAAGCCAAAAAGGCAGAGGACGAAATGGCTGTTGGCAGTTTATTGGCTGGCTCCAAACTATCTTCCTCGAAGGGCAAAGGTGGATCTCCTGGCAAGTTTCCCGAGCGGAGACTCTCCGGCCAAGTCTCCCAATCCGTCCAGTCACCATCACGACTCAAGCCTGCTGATCAACTGGAAGCCACGGCTGAAGAACGAGATACCGATGAGGAAGGGGTCCATGTCGACACCTCAGTCGACGTCCGGGACTCTTCCAGGGGTGGTTTGCGATCTTTCCTCCCTGCCTTTTCCAACTCCCGATATGCTCGTCGTCATCGTCAAGGAGCTGCATGGGAAGATGCACCGCTGCCCCCGGGCGTTAAGGACCCCGGCGTTTGGATCAAAGATCAAGGTGAATTGAAAATTGAGGGCAAGGTCTGGCTCGCCAATCAACGAACGTTCATCAAGTGGCAACACATTGCGGTGCTCCTTGCGACATTGTCACTTGGTCTTTACAATGCTGCCGGCGTCGACAACAATATTGCTCGCATTCTGTCAGTTGTCTACACCGGCTTCGCAGTCTTCGCAGCTGTATGGGGTTGGGGAGTTTATATGTGGCGTAGCAAATTGATCACCGAACGAAGCGGGAAAGATTTTGATAATGCTATTGGGCCGTTCATCGTGACCATTGGATTGGCCTGCGCATTGATTTTGAATTTTGCATTCAAGTATAATGCTGCTGTTGCAGATGATGGCACACCTGTGAACGGCACGGCCCTGATGCCTATGGTCAAGCAGCTGCCTAAGGGAAATATGGTCAACGACTTGTGGACACAGGAACTGTAGACTAATGGATGTGACAAAAGAAGAGCATGAACTGGGAAGGGATTAAACTGGCATCTGAAGAATGACTCAAATGAACCGAATACAGCAAAGGTGGGAATGGAGTCACGGATATCACCATAAGCGAAAGTGACCAACGTCACCAAAATTTAGTACTAGTATGCTGATTAGGACCGATCCAGACTAAAAATATCAAATCAAGACAGCTTTGCTGGCCTATGGGGTGTGCATAGTGTGGAAGCCGTAGTCTGCTTCTTGATTTTGAGTTCTGCAGGTCACAGTCTTTGGCTCACATTCGAGTTCTGGAGTTTCCTCCAATGCCGCTATGAATCTTGCCATGTCCGTAGGCGGGTCTTCGTCTTCAGGCTCAGCAGATGTTTCGATTTTCGCTCTCGACCTGTCGTTGCTAACCTTATTGACCTTGTAATGTTGGTTGTAGTGGTAGTGGTGACGGTAGGTCAACCCTTCCTTCCAGCCTCTATGCCGACCTATTCTTCTCGCTGCTTTTTCAACGTAGAACTTGGGTATTGTTGTGGTTGAGTCTGTGCCGTATAGAATGTTGTAGATCTGAGAGAATGCACAAGTCGTCACTTATAGTAATGATGAAGAAAGCGGCCGTATAGTGTATATTTTAAGAGGAACTTGATTGGTTGGAGGGCGCTTCAGGACATCCTCCTTGTCAAACACGTCCTGTATTGTGCTTGCATCCAAAAGAGTCACCGAAACTCGCTCAATAATCAAAAACAAAGCTGTAAATACTTTGGGCATTCGATCTTTGGACCTTTGGGAGCAGACCCACCTCTCCGTCAAGACAGGGCTGACCATTTTGATCGCAAGAACCATCCATCATTCGATGCACGCTCATAGAGCAGGATCGAAACATTGACATTTACACACTTGCCGACTTGCTTTCTCTTTGGCTTGGGCATTTATCGACGGCCCTACCACCTTGACCGAGGTACTTTTTTGGTCGATGCCAATTCCAATCTCCGCCATCTCTGCGCCCCGAGCAGAAGCAATTATCCTCGTCCACAGACGGCTCAACAGCTCTCATTCTTGCATTTACATACACCCACCCACTCTCCTCACTGTCTTGCTTCCGTGACCACGCCCTCGTATTCCCTCGACTTGATATACTCCAAGGTCCTGAAGAAATGGCGTTTCGGATTCTCCATGGATTGACTATTTCCCTCTGCATTGGTAGTAGACAAGTTGGAATGGATCAATTCAATAAGCCCATTCAGATATTTGGTTGTTACCTGCCATACATCAGTGGATGGTCGAAGAAGGGAATCTTGGGCGTCCTCACGGTCTCGTTTTGCTGGTCGAAATAATACACATATCTGTTTAGAATCTCGACGAACAACTCAACCGACACGGCGGTGTCCATGCAAGCATCCGCAACACGTAGTGCTCTCTGAAGGCATTCCAAAACACGCTTACCATCGCGGTAGAACTATTATTATATCAGCATCCGGACCGAATACCACGATGTGATCTCTGGTCAAACTCACCGTCTTGGGATCCTCTTCCCGGCCAGGGATCTCCACACACCACCAAAGGTGACTTGCCAAATACACCGCACGACATTGGTCTGGCTTCTTCAACAATTTGCTTCCATGTAGCGCCGCCTTGGTAATCAAAGTGTCGTAGTTCTCCTTTCCGAAACCTCGGGTCATCTGCAGGGCTCCGGCAATAATGCAAACAGCTTGGAATTGCGCCCTAGAGTCGCTGATGCTGTCCTCGTAGATGGTAAACGCTTGTGCAAAAAACTCATATGCAAATTCCTCAAATCCACACTGGTCCGCAATTTGACCACAAGAAACAAAGAGTCGAAGACACAGCTCGGCTGCAGCAGGGTTGACGCGCGTATACAACTGAGAGAGGGTCTGATGCATGAATCGGTATAGAGCGGACGATTGATTTTGCCAATTATCGTCGAAGTGTTCTCGAGATTTGAATTTTCGTGCCGACTTCATCGAAGCCGTAATGATGGCTGGAGTGGTGTATTTTATCCTCTCGTTACCGGCTTCATAAGCTTTCCGTGTTTGTTGCAGCAGCTTGAGTTGAGTGTCATTGTCTGGTCCCTGGATGAAGTGGACTATCCTCGCGAGCCAGCCTTGTTCTTCTACGGTCTCGTCCGACTCTCCGCCCCTCTGGCGGTTCAGGCCAGGGTAACCGCCTGGTTGCTGAATTCCTTCCTTGATGATGACCTTTAGTAGTGACAAAATGCCTTCCAAATGCTGTGTTGTCGTAATCTTGATTCGGTTTCGGAGTATGTTCTTGGCCACGTCGCCAGCAACGGCTCGTCTGGTGGCGTAGGTTTGTGATTGATATAATGGAAGGTAATTAGGAAGGGCTAACGCAGTGAAGAGAGAGAAGTATGTCCGAATTGGCGAGAGAAGGAGATTGAGCATATTTGCTTGTGTGGTGGCGGAATGAAGATCGGCAGAATCCATGTATTCGGCACTTTTTTCACGGGCATACGCCAGAATTTGGTCGACGTACTCCAGTCTGTCCGGATAAATACTCCTGATGACTGTCAGCCACTTTTCTTTCAGAGATGGTTGCAACACTTACAGGGCAAGATTGGCAAGAGAAGTCAAGAGAGCCATCGTGTCCTGAATAGGGAGACCTCGAGATTTCACCAGATTCACGACCTGTTCGTAGAAGATTTCAAAAAGTTTGACGTCTCCAATTCCAGAGCCAGTCTTATCTCCATTGGTTGCCGGAGTCGCCGGGGTTGCCGGCTCAGACTCACTTGGTTGCGTTTCGGTCGGTGATTTGGGATCCGTGCCGTTGGTCTTTGGGATTTCTGGTTCAGCTGCGGGAGCAGGTTTAGGTTCGTGATTAAGATCGACTTTCTCAAGCATTCGAATTGCCGCCTCTTCTTCAGCCTTACGCTTTTCCTCCGCCGGGGCTCCTTCGGATTCTCTCTGGGCGTATGTTGACAGGCGATCCATCAGACCAATGACAATTTTCTTCATATCGACGTGAGGGTTCAGTCTTGCGATTGCAGAGAGCATTTGATCTAGAGTGTGAAGATGATACTCGTCCGGGAAGACTTTGGTGATGACTGAATACACGTCAGCATGAGATTTCGCGCAGAGCTGTACCCTTACCTTCGAGCAAATATTCTTGAGCCAGCACATCTCGACATTGGACAACTTGTTCCAACAGCGGGGCAATAATGGTGGTTTTGTAGGTCTCCAAATCGACCAATTGACTGAGTCTCACCAAGTTGCTTCCCACCAGGAGTTCCAGTTCTCTTCGCTCTTGAGTTCTCTGTTCTCTTTCTCTGGAATGACCCTGGTGTTGCCAGCGCACCCATAATTTGTTCATTTCCACGAAATTTGTGAGGATGAAATTGATGGAGTCCTGAAGGTTGCCTTGGGGGCCCTCCTCCTTCCCCGTTGGGAGATGGTCTCGCGCCTGTCCGCTCAGATAGTAACGGAGAAAAAGTCCTCGGATGGGATGCTGGACACCACGACTCATTTCCATCATATCCTTCATAATCTCCTTGACGGGGGCATCTTCGACCGCCATGTAAACCGTCCCCACGGTAATCATAAGGTACAATCTTGGTATGATGTTGCCTGCATACTGAACGAGTTCGTAAAGGTCGGCGAGATGATTGACCGGGTGAGAGTCGCGGAGGTAGTCGGACAGATGCCGCAAAGCATCAAAGACAGCCATGTACAACTCATAGTATTGCTTTGGTCCAAGAGTAGGTGTTCGCAGCTCAGATACGAGGGTGGACCTGCAATGATACCCTCAGTCAGCGTTGCGGACAGCAAAGGGTGTGCGAAGTGACCTACCCGCATTTCAGAGCGTCCATGAGCTTGCCAGGGGTCTCTAAACATCTGCGCATCTGTTGTGACTGTTGACGCACGACTCCTAGCGCTTCCTCCAGCAATCGGCCCTGATCTTCGACGGTGGGCGGGCCTGCCGCCATTGCGACGGTGGGTTTTGGTCAGTGACCAGTGACTCGGAAACCTGAATGTAGACTGAGAGATCGAAGCGGCGTCCTGGAGGTTTGCAATATTGGGTCTTGACGATATCTGCACGTCCTCAATCACAAGATACAAAATGTTCAGGGCAGGCAGTGAAAGCTGCGTCTCGTTGGACGGAGAAGTCGACAAATGAGGCGGGCGGAACGAATTTTTCCTTGGCAGCGGAGCGTGACCGCTTGCGAATGGGCGTCCTTCTCATCCCAGAAATGTAGGTAATACATTCATTATGTGGAAGACGCAATGTGGTTGGAAATAATTATCATTAAAACATTTCTCAAACGTTATGGATCTGGCCTGATACCTTTATCGTTCTAACAGGTACATCCCTTTTACCGAAAATGGTCCTGGAGAATCGCCACCAGCGCCTTTGCTAGGTCTCAAATAATCCGGTAGATGCCTCTGTTGACATTCATTGCTTGAACTGATCCCCCAATGTTCCCACGCTATATTCTCATGAAAATTTAAAGAAAATGTAGATCCAACCTGGGTCTCACAAAACAGTCGAAGAGGCGACTTCTTTCGGGCCACTCCAGAATCCTAGCGCTTCAGTTGGCGTTCCAGTGCTCACGTCCGACGTTGGCACAGGCAAGCGGCCAGAGTTGGGACCTCCCCAAAACTCCGGGATCGCTGTTGTACTTGGCGCGCTGGCACTCCATTCCGAGATTGTGGTAGAACTGGATTCGATCTCAGAGCTGACAGTATGGTAGTAGTAGGTATGCCACATGCCATCGTCGTATGGCCTCGAGGATGGAAGAGCTTGTGTCACAGTGACGGTTACTGGTGAAGGGGTGAAGTTCCAGAAACTCGGGACAGAGTAGGATGATGGAGAAGCATGCGATGTTATCACAGGTGGTGACCTGCTTAATTGTGGTGGTTGTCGGTTAGGCTGTGCGGATGATTCGGGAATAGCAGTCACAACTTGCGTCGTTACTGAGGGAGGTAAATAGTCGGTAATGGTCGTTGGTGATGGGGAGGTGACGGTCAATACTATGGTGTCAGGTACTTCTGACTCAGTCACGACCATTGTGGACAACTGCGTCTTCATCACTGTTGCTGTGTGTGTGACCGCATCGGTGACAGTGGTTGCTGATGCTGTGCCTCCTCCTCCTGTATTACCACCGTCTACCGCGACGACCGAGTAGGAAGCAGGCTCTCTTCGCTCGATGGAGCCCGGAATCAAGGGCCAGGCGTGGGCGAGTAGCAGAAGGGAGGATATTGAAAGAGTCGTGTATGTAGAGATCGACTTCATCCTAGGGGAGGAGAGGTCGTGAATATGAGACGGTTCGTTACTGGCTTGACTTCCAACGACCTGCTGCAAAGTGAGAAGAGCGAGAGTGTTCAAGTGAGAGATGTTGAAAACAGAATGGGAAGAGAAATGGAACCAAGGAAAAGGACTCTGACATCTACCTATCCATGTCGGAGCAGAAATGCAAAGGCTGGCCATTTCCAAGGGCGTCTATACGAAGATCCAGAAGCATGTGCGACATTATTTGCAGGTGGTTATTTGATGCTGAAGAGTAGAACCGGAGAGGTTGGGAACTTGGGACGCGCAAACAAAGTGCCAAGACCGGGCTGAACCCAGACAAAAGCCTGCCGGATTCCTGTGGCTGGGGGCGCCAAAACATGTGGCTGGACGGCCAAGTATGCAAAACCGACAATTTCTCTGCAGGCACGTTGTGTATAGATCTTTTGCTCACAATGGAAAGAGTGTTCTTTTCGGTAAGTAGCATCCGAATCACGCGCAAGTAGAGGCATTCGACTTCGACTTTCGGATGACCACCTTGTCACCTTCGCGTATCCAGCTCACTCCTTCGAGTTTGACCAGTTCTTCCCAGCTGAGTTCGCCTCCTGTGCTGCATTGCAAGATCCATTTGATGTCGCAATTGTAGTAACATCGCCCAATTGCTTTGAGTACCATTTTGCGCTGGTGGTCGATGTGCCAGTAAAGGATCGCCCGGACATAGCCATCAACATTCTGCCGCACACGCCAGAATGTGACCCAGTCTGCCATGACTATAGATTTCAATATGCTATCAACAATTCGGCTCTGAAACCCAAACTTGATGCGGCTATTGTACCTTAAAGCGTAAGCCTGAGGTAAGTCATTCTGTCGGATTGCCGTATCCAGAATTAGATAGGTGGTCATCTCGACCAGTTCCGGCCTCGGTAGAGGATGAGCGGGAGTATGTAAGACAAAAAGCAAATGCAGGAGGGATGCATGGTAGCCAGGCGGATGTAGAGCGAGAATTGCAGCTCTAATGTTAAAAACGTGTACTCGCTGGGAAAAGACAGGGGAGGGAGTCGATGCGGAGCCCGCAAGCAGGCCTTCTCGTAGTTTTCGAAGTGCTAGGAGAATCGTTGAGAGCTCGGCAGAGGGTGATGGCGTTGAAGCAGAGCGGCTCTCATCGAGTGAAAGAGAGGCAAATGCACTGTCCAGGTCGCTTGAATATCGCGTGCAAAATTGCGTATAGCGAGCGACAATCTTGTTGTAAAAGCTCTCTTGGGTCTTGGGATCGAGAAGTCTGGGTTGATTAGCAGTCATCAAATACCTCGAGGTTGATATTGCCGACCTATTGTCTCCTTTTGATACAAACCCCATACTCTCCAGGGGATCTTGCTTCACGGGTCGAAGCCTATCCCATGATCTCCGACCCAGCGACGGCAGGGGTTGTGCCATTCCTCCGAGTGATGTCGATGCGTCATCAACGTCGTGTGAATGGCATACCTTGTTGTGTGGTCCACTTTCATCCTGTGGTCAATAACTTATCCCAATAAGGAGGCCGTTAAAGGTACACATCGGTGGACGGGGTTGTGGCGCTGTTTGCTAGTATTAGGAGTGGGCCGACCCCTCCGCGAAATTTGATTTTCCTTCGCCCCAATATTTTGGGAACAGTATTGATTCACCAAACTTCTATATGCGCCAACTCTAAAAGAAGTCCAGTATCGAAAGAGGACATGTCCAAAGCAAAAGAAAACATCCTCGAATCAACCAGAATGTCTGATAACACGGGTGATGCTTGGTACCACTTGATTCACTGGAATGAACTTCCTCATTGGCAGCGAGATAATCATCATATACATGGAAGCTACCGGCAAGCATCCTATAGCTATGTCAGGTCTTTGCAAAGTATATTGCATTGGCACAACGAGAGTGTCAACATCTGGACCCATTTGGTCCCGGCATCTTTGAGCCTGCCGGGTGGCGCTCTCCTTTACAAAATCCTCAAGCCACGATACGAACAAGCCTCCTCAGCCGACGTAATAGCAATGAGTTGCTTCTTTGGCGGCGCAGCATTCTGCTTGGGGACGTCTGCCGCCTTCCATGCCATGTCAAACCATTCCCCAAGAGTTGCTCGGATGTGGAATCAACTGGACTATGCTGGTATTTCTCTGCTTATTGCTGGGTCTTTCATTCCAAGCGTCTACTACGGTTTCTGGTGCAATCCCGGGAGACAACTGGCATATTGGACTATGGTGCGTAAGCAATAACACAACATTCAATGACCTTGCTAAATCAGGGTCAGATATGTTCTTTAGGTGTGGCCTGTACAGTGACATCGATCCTTCCTCGGTTTAGAACTCCCGTATGGCGACCATACCGAGCCTTAATGTTCGTTGGCATGGGCGTATCGGCAATATTTCCCGTCTTCGACGGGTTGAGAACAGTTGGATGGAAAGGCATGGAAAATCAGATCGGGCTCTCCTGGCTGGTCCTGCAAGGCGCCTTGTACATATTGGGTGCTGGGTTGTACGCAGTAGGTTCATCGAAGCCCCATCACAGACAAGTGCTAAATGCCTCAGGCTCGAATTCCTGAGGCGTGGTACCCAGGCAAGTTCGACACCTTGGGAAGTTCGCATCAAATATTCCATGTTCTCATTGTATTGGCAGCGGTGTCGCACCTCCGAGGACTTCTGAAGGCATTCGACTATCGCCACGGTATCATGGAATCGATGTGTATATGATGGCCAGGAGGGGGCATGATCACATCTTAAAGTCGGCATTCACAAATGCACGCGATTGGCCTTGGTCCTTTTGTAGACCGGCAATCTGCGAAATCATCGACATCTTCAAATCTCGAGACCTGTCCGAAGTCAAGTCGTAGATTGTGGCGAGGTTGATGGTTAAAGTTTGGAAAGAGTGCCCGTCATTAATTAGCTCCTCCAGGAGGCTTTTAGCCTTCGGAACCTCTCCTTGGTAGAGGTATGCAACAGCAAGATTCTGTTTGACGAGGGCTGTCATGGACGGATCGGCCTTGGCTTCGCTCTTCGAGAGAGCCTCGGATGCTTCTTTGTACCGGCCATCAGCGACGGCGAGAAGAGACTCTAGAGCAAGTTTGTCTTCTGGCGTGAATTCTGAATCCTTCATCAATTTATGTGCCTTCGCCATGTCTCCCATCTTTATTCGGACCAAGATCATTCGAGATGTCCAAAGAGCTCGATGCTCGGAATTTCCGGGCTTGATTGTCTCAAGGGTACGAGCGGCACAATCAAGATCACCCATCTCAATCAGCGCGTTAACTACCCAGATGGATACCTCGTGGAGTCTCTCCGTCCATAACACCCGTTGTTCCGGGGTAGTACTTGGAGTCGACAAATGCTCTCTGCATTCGAACGCAGTATCATAGAGCGTAGACACGCCCCGACGAGGGTCTGAAAACCCAATACTTTGAAGACGCAAAGCCTGCAATCGCAAAGAAAACGGCATAATGTGATGAGGAACTCGATGAGGTTGGAGAACCTCGTCGTCTTCAGCTTTGTCCACATTGGGATCATCGTAATAAAATGCTGAACTCAGATCTTCCAGGGCTTTCGCTTCCTGCGCCGCGAGTAGCAGATTCCCCGAAAGCTCCAAGCATGAGTATCGGACGGCAAGGAGTCGAAACACTGTCTTGGAATCGGTAGGTCGTACAGTCCCAGATGTGAGAATTGAGCCTGCGAGATGGGCCGCTCTGAGGAACTCGCATTGCGATAGAAGCGCATCTAGTTGTTCAAGAGAACGTGCAACGGAGGTCTCATTGGTCGGGGGTGGAAGGAAAGGTTTTCTGAAAGGGCCAGGGACTTCAAGCTGTGAGAGAGGGTGGTATATGGAAGTGTCAAACAGGAATGAGAGTTCTCGTTCTTCCTTTATTGGCTCACCAACTTGCACGGAAGGCTGCTGAGCGTGCTGGATGGATGGCTGCGGATTAGCAGATTGCTGCGCTGTTGATCCGCTGGCCTCATCCTGTGGCGGTTGTGGGAGAGGTGAATGTCGAGATGAGGCGAGAGATGGATCATCGACTGCATCTAAAGGCCCTTTGGTTGTTCTCCTGGGAAGAGATGCTCGACCTGACGGCTTACGGCTGTGATGTGCAGAAGCCATACCTAGAGCTGACTCTAATTTGTCGTTCAATGAGAAGGCAATCTATTTAGATTTATTAGAGTAGCAAGAGATTGTATGTTCGGACGTAGAACTTGATGTTTCATCCCTATCGTGGGGCGCGACAACCAGTCGCGCATTCACGCGTTTACCACAAAAATGCCAGATTGGACTTCTTCTTGAAGGTCCTAGTACTCTGTGTATTGCAGCTCCTTGACAACTCGACAAGCTGCAAGCACTCCAACCATGACTACCAAGAATAAGTATTCGGTCATTTTACCCACCTACAACGAGCGACAAAATCTGCCCGTATTGGTACAGATGCTCTTCAACGTCTTCACGACGGAGTGAGTGTCCTCAAGCACCCAACACCAACTCCGCGAATGATGCTGATCCGCTTTTGCTTTTCTCATTCTACAGGAAACTCAATTGGGAGATCATTGTCGTAGACGATGCCTCTCCAGACGGCACGTTGGAGCGGGCGAAGCAACTCCAAAAGTCATTCGGGGCCGACCATATCGTCTTAAAACCACGAGCAGGCAAACTAGGCCTCGGGACCGCGTACGTTCACGGCCTCCAGTTCGTCACGGGCAACTTTGTCATCATCATGGACGCTGATTTCTCCCATCACCCAAAATTCATCCCAGAGTTCGTCAAGATCCAGAAGCAGACAGGATGCGACATCGTCACGGGCACGAGATACCGGTCGAAACCCGGCTTGATTGGTGGCGTATATGGCTGGGATGCCAAAAGGAAGCTGACCAGTTGCGGTGCAAATATCCTTGCCGATTTCCTGCTGAATCCTGGAGTCAGCGACTTGACAGGTTCTTTTAGATTATACAAGAAAGACGCATTAGTAAAAGTGATTGAGAGGACACAGTCCAAAGGATACACCTTCCAGATGGAGATGATGGTCAGAGCAAAAGCCATGGGTTTGAAAGTCGAAGAATGTCCTATCACTTTTGTTGATAGACTATACGGCGAAAGCAAGTTGGGAGGAGAGGAGATCGTGGAGTATCTCAAAGGTTTACTATGGCTATGGTGGTCTGTTTAGGCTTGAGGAGACTACGATGTATCAAGATTGTCCAATTGGCGGCGTTTAATTGGCAGCAATACGTCCTGTCAAGAAGGTTTTCAATCCATCCTTTTTCTACTCTGAACTGTTTTGCAACGGTGTGGCTATAACTCATCCCTGCACAGACAAATTTCGAACCAAATGCGAACGGCCACGCGCTCTCAATTTGTATCCTGGCAGCTAGGAGAAATATTCCATCTTCTCTCTTCACATTCTCCGAATCCAAAAAGGGCCAAATCAATCAAGGGAGTCAGGTTTCCGGGAGTCTGACAATATACCGCAGATCTCAACATTAAACTCCAACCTGTAACCAACACAGTGGAGCTCACCTCAGCAATTCGTTGTCAATCTTCGGTTGATAATTTGTTCATTTCCTCGGCACTTTTGGGGTCAGCTTGGAAGCATCTATCGATTGGCTCGGAGAGTAGCTGGCCGTAAAGCCCAACGATGGTAAGCAAGGGCATATTTATTCCTGGGGATGGAGCGTGTCAGCCTAAAATGTGCTGCGGTCGAAGAACGAAATCAGCCATGGGGCCAGGGCCTTCCGTCGTTCTCTGGTTGAATCTGGGAACAAGAGGCCAGCAATCCAGTCGGCCCCGCTTGTCTGAATGGTGGCTTATATCCCCAATTCAAGAGACTGACACCAAGACAAGGTCGTTGGACGATTCATGTGGCTTTCGTTGACAATCTTCTTTCGAACATAACCGGGGAAAGAGCAGAGGGAAACGTGTTCACGGTCAACGAAAGGATGGTGGTAACCTCTGGCTGGAATCTCAAGGATCATTCTGGTGTGAGGAAGCCCTTGGACCCTTCTCCGGAATCTAGGCCATCCTCCAACATGTGTTTTCCTCTTGAAGACTTTCGCCTCATCTGCCATCATCGGAGTTCAACTGCTAGCTAGGTAATGATTCTTGAATCGAGCATATGGAGAGAACACGATGAGTGATCAATACGAGGTCGCAATAAAGGATGCCAAAGGGATGCCGAAGGGATGCTCAACGCCGAAAGCCTTGAACATTTGTCATAGCAATCTCCCATACTCTTCTCTAGTTGGGGGGCCAGTATGCAATGGTAGCTCGATCAAGTAAGTGGAAGACAATGGGCACTTGACGGAGAGACCGGATCCAATGCGGGGAAAATGTCGCTCGCGCGTAAACATGACTGGAGTCACAGAACATGGTGGGAGTCGAGTTGATAGGAACAATCGGTGAAAGATCGATTCGTGAGCTGTCCGGAGGCAAAGTTACTTTCCTTTTGTAACGTCACGATTCAGACGTGCAGGTGAACCGGGGGATAGAAATGGCCTACTGTCGTATCCAGGGTAATTTTCGTTAGTATAGGACTAAACCACGTGATTACACACGTGATCCTCCGGGCGGGAACGCCTGGAACTCAAGGGGGGTAATGCCTAAAGCAACCCAGAATTTAGGGTTCCCCTGACTGGCTAGTTGAGCCACCCTAGGCAGGTCCTGAACAAGGGGTCAAAAATTCCATGCTCCTTTGAGGAAATCGACCTAGTGGCCACTTAGGGCTGATTAGTCAACTAAATTGGTTGAAGATGTCGAAGCTTTTGGGCTCGGATTTAGGGCTGAAACTTGCATTTGCCCGGATCGGATGCCCAAGAAAGATATGCCTCACGCCCCGAAGACAGGTTTTTGGTGAATAATGCTCGGTCTTCTAACAGAGGCCTGCCGAGAGATCGGACAAGTAGTGACCTTTGAAAAGCCGATGAAGCCCAATCCGCAGGCCGTCGTCTGTTCAATTTGGCCTGTCCAAGCGAAACTGCATTGGCCCGTTGCGGCTTGGATGGTAAGGGGCTTCCAAGCCCTGTACATCGACCGCGGTTCCTCTCCTTTGAATGACATTGTCACCCAACTTGCAACTCTTTCGCGGTGTGAAATCTCACCGCTCGCCATTCCACGGGGGCGCATGACAGATGGGTAAAGGGGGGAGTGATTCTCCACATCAGACCGGGATGCGCGAGAACCGCGAGGACGAGCTGAAAGGAAGGCTGAGGCAAATGCGTGGAATTCCATCGCCGAGAAAGACGGGGAGGCACCTTGCAGCGTTTGGCTCACCCGCTACCATTTGCTAGGTGATAACCGGCCTGAATTCCGATCATTAGGTGATCCACTATCTAAGGCTCCTCGCTTGGTTTCTTTGTATATCTAACTTGTTAGTTTTGCTTCTGGTAGCATTTGTCGAAGATCTCACTCTGCCATAGACATTCAGCTCTGCTCCAATGTACCTGTTCGTGGATCCGAGATGGTTCCTCGAGCCCTCGTGGTCGCTGGCAGGCCTCCACCACTTCTATCGGTTCATGAATCGGTGATGGTGGACGGTGGAACCGGGGGGATTGCAGTTAAGGGACCAGAATCAGAACAAATCGTAATTCGAAGCGAGAGAGAACGGTCGCCAACGAGACTGAAGAGAAGTCATCACAAAGTGCGAACTGGATGCGTCACTTGCAGGTAAGTTACATACTATCAACCTTGCTTCGTGTCATGTCGGGCGGCTGCTGCTGCTGCTGCTTCTTCTCCTCCTCTACCCTCTTTCCGCTAACCTCCTCGACAGGCGTCGAAGAGTCAAATGTACGTCTCTTCCCCAAATCATTGTCTTGCTCCGAATGTTTATACTCATTTCCCTTTGGGACTGTTGATTTTGGAGCCGGTCCACATCTCCCCTGGCAAATCTTCATTCCATTCGACCTTCTCGAACCTTAGGCAGCTGACCTTTCTCTCCCTTTCTGATCTACAGGTGACGAGACTCACCCTAAATGTCGACGCTGTGCCAAAGCTGGCCGAGTCTGCGAAGGCTACACACAAGCCAAAGCATGGCTGTTCGAACCTTCATCTAACACCTCGCCTCCAGATCTGGAGCTCGCGCCCAACAAAGCATATCCTGTCCAACTTTTCGAAGAATCCGATCTGAACCGACCAACGCAATATTTCCTTGAATGCACCGCTCCTCGAATTGCCTTTTATTTCGCGGAAATGATGGATTCGTTTGTTGACAACAAGGCAATGGTGGCACATTCGTCCGCACAGGCGTGGGAATTTTGGAATAGATTGGTCATACAAGCGAGCGAAACCCAGCCCTGTGTTCGTTACAGCTTAGCCGCCATCAGTAGCCTGCACGAATGGATAGAACTCACCAAACGGACGCCGTGGCAAAACTATACCTTTACTCTCCACTATACCAAAGCTATCACCAAGATTAACCAATGTCATGGCAACCTCCCCGTCGAGATCATCCTCATATCCTGTCTTCTATTCGCTCACTGCGATTTCTTGATGGGTGCCTCTGCAGCAGGTTTCGCTCATCTCAAGTCGGGCTATCGAATCATATCCGAAAACCGGAAACGGTGCGTACAGTTGGCTCCAGAAATCTCTGAATTAATAGAGCCCATAATCCAAGGCTTCGTTGCAAAATCAGAAAACTACAAGCTGAGGGAGGAGACAGGTCCAAGGGCTAATTTATCTCGAGAAACAACTTATGTCTTACCAGAGATGCCTGAAATATTCGAGGACTTGACTCAAGCGAACAGGTCACTCCAGCAGGCAATGTACTGGGTGCTTCTGCTCGAGTTGGGCCAACCAAATCACCTGTCGACAATGACTCCTGGAGTGCGAAAGTATGTGACAGACTGGGCCACTGCGTTTGGTCGTTGGAAAGCGAGACTCGAATGGGACGACCCCCTTCTTAAAGATTGGCAGCTGCTCCTCCTAGCCCATCACCGCATGGCGTTGCTCATTCTAAGAACACTCCCACCTGAAAATGACCAAAGTTATGGTCGGGCGGCCGCAGATTTTCGAATCATGTATGCACAGCTTCGAACCTTCTTACGTAGTGGATATATCGACGCGGATGAGAAAGAGAATAGTCATTTGGTCCTGAAAGTTCATCTGGGGTTCATTGCTCCGCTTTTCTTCATTGCGACTCAATGTCGAGTGCGCGACATACGGCGAAATGCTCTCGAGGCTTTACAGAATCTCAACGTTGTCGAAGGTCACTGGAATAGCTGTGTAGCATACGCAATCGCTAAGACCGCCGTCGAAGTCGAGGAACAATACAACGAGACAAGCCCAATGAAGTCTACTCGGATCAAAATTGAAAGTGTCGATCGGTGGAGAGACGGAACCATGACTATGAAATATCACAAAGTGCCCGGAAATGGATCGGCTGACAGCATTGCAACGAAGAATATTACGGAAGCCGCCTGTCATCACGATGCAAACATGCAATGGGTATGTCCGTCGATAAATTTACCATGTACTATTTTGACTGACGACTTTTGTAGCCCGTGGTACGTGTAGTACAGCTTCATGGATTTCAAGCATCAGTCAAGCCACGAAGATTAAACTGTTCATGTCGCAATGTTCAGCCCCGTTAGACCCGAGAAGACCCCTTTCTACATCATCTCAGCGTCGGCTCAAATTGGGATAATACGTCGGCGCGTTGTCCACTTGGCTTGACCCAAAGGAATGCCGTACTAATCTCTGCTCATCTTTTCCGATATGCTGGCACATGTCAAGACCACCACGATCTCGAGGCTAGCGCCGAGTTTTTCAAATATGCGAAGTTCGCCTTTCTTCTTGACACTGTTCAGGTTGTTTGCCAGAAACACCGCGACGACTTGTCCAGTGTCTTGATCCGTCAATCTATAATTTCGCAGCGAGAGTTTGCCGGCAATTCCTTCGACGCCATCGGCAGGATCGTTTGTTCTCTGCCACATGAAATGTCTCCTCCGAGGACCGTCGGCAGCATTCACATCCCAATTGCAAGACTCAGTGAATTCAAACACATATTTGCTCTTGGTCAACCACTTGGAAATATTTTTCATTTCTTCCCAGACCACGCCATTGGGATCATTTATGGGATCTCCAAGCCCCAGCTTCACATGTCGGGAATGGCGAAAATGTGCCACACCGAGCAAAGGGCCACTCATATCGGGGCCGCCGTGCAGCCTTACGTCTGGTGTATTGGCCTTCCACTCTGTGGTGACCGCAAAATACGCGGGGCTTTCAACCGGATGACTCGCGTTCCAAATTGCCATATCCGTCCTCAAAGGTTTGCGTCGGAACACCAATGTTTTAAGGGCCGGTTGAGTGGGCTGTCGAAGCAGTGTTGGCTTGACATCCCATTCTGTGTCGTCCTCTAGCAATGCCTCAGGGTTGGAATGGCGTTCTACATCAGGTCGTCCTGACCGGATGGTGTGCAAATAAGGATTTTGAAACGTCGACGCCATATCGTTCGATTGATCGATTGATGTACTCATGGTGTGGAGGAGAGTAGGTGGTGATGTAGGATGTCAAATTGTCCAAGTTTTGGTCTTGCAATTAATACAGGTTCATTTTGTCGATGGTAGAGACTCGGTCGAACAGGGCAATGGTAGGTGCTGGTGGAATATTAGTATCACCTCCCAGCTTTCAGATGATTCATTTATGCTCCAATGCCTGACTGACAAGCTTGTACTATCCATCAACGACTCAAGAGATTGAATAGATTTCACTCATAGCAAAATACAGTAGGGACTGTCTGTGGCATGGAAAGAGAAATAAAAATAGACAAGGGGAGCCACAGCAACGGAGTCTGCCCGGGGTAGTCGTTCATGCGAGTGGTGGGAAGAAGTTCAACTGCCCTTCGGCGAGGCGTTCTTGGAGGGGCCAAGGGGACCAGAGCCAGTAATGTGCCAGACTGCACGTACTCGTATTCATTACACTGAGAGTCAAGATTCGCTCGCATGCCAAAAAAAAAAAAAAAAAGCTGTGGTCTGGATAGCTACCTATCCTACCAGTGGCCTACCCCGGTCCGATCGGGGGCAGTCCTGCTCAGGACCTAGATTAGACTGAGTTCTTGAAATGATTTGTGATTGACGAGCAGGTCTATAGATGGAGTATCTGAATAGACCCTAGGGTTCCTTTCTGGTTCGTTCCTCGAAACCCCCGTCTGCGGGTTGTGGCCTCGAGGTCGTTCCATTTCGGTTCACTTTGCATCTGACACTCTCCTGGCCATTTCATCGTGTTCTCGTGCATTTCCATCTAGTTGAGGATATCATTCACACTCAATCTGTCCTTTTCTTCGCCGTCAATCTACTATTTGCATCTTCAGAGGGGCTGGCGATGAAGGCAAATGCATGGCCATTTGCGAGTCCCGTTCTTGAACCAACATCACCCACGACAGCACGTCCGCTTTCGTTGGCCCTCGTTGAAGCCCTATTGGTTTCACTAATCTCATGTACTTTCATATCCATACCGACCCAGAACCGGCGGTCGCGCCATGTCACACTGGCGCCACCCCAGATTGCCCACATCCAGATCGGGAAGGCAAGCACCTCACGACCAACCCAGGAGGAAAGCCAGGCTGTGAAAGGCCGTCGAGAGAAGCGTCGTGTGCGAGGTCTGGCAAATTCAGGCACATCGTTGGTGTCAGTTTCAATGGTACGACCAGAATGCAGAAGTAAATACACGGTCCAGTCAACACTGGCCCAGAGCACGAGACTCACTGCCCACCAGAAGTAGAGCCAATTCCAAGTATCTCCCAACATACCACGTGTAGACTGGCAAGTTGTCACGCCGAAAGCACCAAAGGCAGAGCATAAGAAGCTCTCCGTTCCGGGCTCGACAAGTGTGGCCACAGGGACGGTGAATTTCCGCACCCGCAACCAACGAACTCGTCTCGCCACATAGTCGGTTACGGTCATGCCCGCCACAGGTTGAACGGCCAGGTCGCCGAACACAAGACCATGATTTCGCATTGTCCTGGGAAATCCAGGGAGGGGCGGCAGTTTGGATTTCCATAGCAGGTCTCCGATTAGATGGTCTTCGCAGATGTTGCGAGAGAAATAGTCGATGCCTGTTCTTCCGAGTAGAGGGGAGGTAGGATCTTCATTCACTGCCCGTTGCATCGTTAGGTAGTCGAGATGCGATCGGCGAAACATGTTGGATTTGCCCACGATGCAGGGTGCGGCAGCCACAGTGTTGATGGCTACGTACATCTTTGCGTGCGACGAAGAGAGGAAGAGTTCTTCCAGGCGGCTTCCATATTGGTCGAAGAGGCTGAAGGTTCGAGATAGGATGTCGGACAGCAACGGTGCAGGCGAAGTCTCATCGTATGATGAAGTACTATTTCGTCGTCTGCCTAAATATGTGTTCACATCCACCGAGATTGGAAGATGATGAACCAACTTGTATGGTTTGGCCGGGGCGCCTCGCGTCGTAAAACCGCATAGTGTGTCGACCATTCGACCACAGACACCTTTCCCTACCCAGATATTGCAATCAATGATCCAGATAAGATCGCTCTTAGCCTCGTGGTAAGCCCGGCTCATGTTTCTGATCTTTGGGTTGGGCCCTAGGAGATCTTTGTGGCTTCCCAGTTCAGCGACATTGTCATCCTCTTCCACAAACATCCGGGCATCGTGGTTCGGGTAGTCGCCGACAACTTTCTCAATGATTGGACACGCGGCATCGGAGCGTGATGAAACACAGAAGTGAACGGTTATTTTGTCGACTGGATAATCTTGAAGGAAGGTCGAGGCAAGGCATTCATAGAGGTAGGGCTCGAGCCCTTTGCAGGGGCGAATGACTGTGACGTGAGGAATATCTTTCTTCTCTTTGGATAGGACCGCTGCTCGGTCGGAGGCATGACGATAATAGAGGAATCTATAGAACAAGGTCAATTATGATTCTTTCTTGTGTCGGAGCAGTCGGAGAAGTACAAGTTCACGTAGCCAATTGCGCAGACACAGGCTATAAATATGTACCACGCGATGCAGGCCACCGCGACGAGCTCTGTAGACATGGATGTAGCATGACGAAAGAAAGAACGTACAGAGTCTCCGAAGGACTAGAGAGTTACGATAAGCAAATGGCGAAGTTGGATTTATGTGAGAGAAATTTGTTGTTCAAAATTCCGAACCCCCGGCGAAGCCGACCCTCGCTGGTGTCCAGCCTCAGAATAGGGACAGTGCAATATAGGAAGCCATTTTGCATTATCATGCAGCTAGTCAAAACTGCGGATCCCTATACAAAGAATGGAGCCACATCTGATGGGGTTTCCAACCGATCAAGTCCGCTCTGGATGGATCTTCAGTCTCTTAACCAAGCCCGTCGTTTCTCTTCCTTCTTTTCTCTTCGCTTCTCCTTAAACGCTTTCAACTCCGCCTTGGTCAGCTTCTTACTCGCCCGTTCGGCCCGAAGGCTCCTCCCATCGTGACTGTTTGCAGCCGCATCCACGTCAAAGAAAGCATTCATCTGCCGTCGGCTCTTCTGCTCATCGCTGAAATTATCTGGGTTCAGATCGGCGCGCTGCCATTTACCTGTAAATCGATTGAAGGCCGCCGTGGCAGCGTATGCCTCAGCTGGATCTATCCCTGGTGGCCCACCCGCCGCCTCGATCTGCGACGGGATTTCATAAGCCTTGGCATAGTCGGCATTGGGATCGTAGTCGCCATGGATGGCGGGATCGTAGCCTCCAGCCCGTCTCGCAGGTATGTCCTGACCCGCGCCTGGAGCATCAGCCTGTTGTGCGTCTGGTGCCCTTGGATTTTCCCACTGAGACACATTTGTAAATCGGTTGAAGAAGTAGAAGGCTTGAGCTCGGTCGTCCCAGATCGGTTCCCATCCATCGTCGACGGGTTCCCCAGGAGGCGCCTCATCGGGTAATGGTGGAGGGTGTTCGTCGGTAGGCGAGGGAGGGTGGGCCACTTTTGCCTCATCCGACTCAGGGTGTAATGAAGGGGAGCGCAACGTGATATGATCGCTGACTTCCCCATCTTCAGCATGCGGAGAGTCGACATCATCTCGTTTGGTCGTAGCTGGAGGTGTTTCTTTCTGGGAACTGGACGGAGACATGACAGATTAGCAACGAAAGTAGGAGAGCAAAATGGCCTGGAGGTCAGCTACAGCATGATGGTGGTTACACATCCGAGGTGTACTCATGTAACAAAAGAATATTCACGGTAGTGCGGTTGCCGCACAAAGCTGCATGTGTCACTGGACGGTGACTTTGTCGAGCCACAGTGCGAGTGTGGTTTGCAAGAACTCCGCATGAGATGGTCGAGATTCGCAATATGCATATCGAGGAGTCGAATCAAGGAAAAATGTGTAGCATATGCAGAGGGAAAGTTTGCCGAAATTTGCCGACTGATCAGGGGGCCGTCTTGCATCAGTATCTTTAATGAAGAAAAAGGAACGCTCTGCAAACACCTATGCATGTCTGAATTTTCACACCCAGATTGATGCAAAAGTAACCGCCATCGCCGTCCGCGCTCCTTTCGCTGTATTCAACTCCTCGATGATTGAGACCCGGTATCCTGTCCACTCCCGCTACTTTGTTGTCTCATCATGGCCAGCCGATGTTTGTTCTGCTGTTCCAACAACCTCAGTTGCAACTGGTACTCGTTGAGGGTCGATATGTGTCCGGCAACTGGACGTGTGGCTGATGATGCATGTCGACAGGATTCTGATGAAACAGAGTTTCACCGAAATCCAGGACATGAAGGTGCTGTTGGAAACGTTGTTTCGTTGCAACGTTGAATTCAGTCCTGTAGGATCTATGTCTATGTCGGTGCTTAACCTCCATTCGCTTGGGTTGAGCTTTCTCTGCTTGCTCCTGTGGTGCTTTGACGGCTGGCCTCAAATTGCACTGGTCCATTGACGGTGGTCCAAAGGCGAAGGTAGGCGTCTCTGATGAACCTGGACCGGAGAGGTCATGGAGAGTGGCGAAACTAGAAGGATTGCCCTGCTCTTGAAGAATACGATGCATTCTTTGGGGGAGTTCCGTCTTTTGATGCAGGCTCGAGGAGCATGGTTGACCCAGGGATGGCCAGGGTTGGTGCCGTGGGGAATCTGCTGAAAAGGGCGGTATTTCTGGAACGTGCTGCGAGAGAATGTCACTTTGCAGGGAGAGAGGACGTGGATCTCTCAAGCACAAGGTGATGTGGAGGCTGGAATCAGGGGTCAATGTAGCCTCGTTGTCAGAATATTTCACACCAGTAACCGCCATGGTCGGGAGTTCCCAATCGCGCAGAATAAGTCTCACAGTGAGGAAAGAGAATGATATGGTTAGCTCAGGGTCACAAAAGGGAGAGAAGCGTCGTTCTTAAAGATTTCGGGTACAAGCGTAAAGAAGCTGAAGAGAGGGGTCATGGACGACATACTTGTTGAGAGACCGTCCGACATTTTGGGCACAGGCAAACAGGGCTTCGTACTACTCTGTGATTGGCTGCGGAGGATGACACTAAACCGAGAGCGGACGCCGACTCGGCGCGGATTTCTATTGGCTAATATTCTATTATTTCGACGCCTCCCTGGCTTGCTTCACCGGCCACGACGCTTTTTATAAACATACCTTTCCTTTCTTCTACCAACGTCCATATCATTTTGCCACGCGTATCAACATGCAGACATGCCCCCACAATCATCGCTGCAGTCCCGACTTGCTGCCGTCATTCCCGCTGGCATAAATCTGCAGGCGTACCACCTTTCGACAACTCCCGAGCCGACAGCCCCGCTCTTCTCATCTTTACCTGGGCAGCACGACGAGGCTACGTTTTGCGAGTCTCATTTTCTTGCAATATCTTCGCCTGAAAATGATGACGGCAAAGAGATTCTGGTCTTCGCCATCGAGGTCTTCATATTTGCCACCACGAGCGTGACCACTTTATTCGTCTCCAAAGCTGACTCGTCTGGCTTCTCCTCACGTCTCAGAGCACCAAAGGGCTCACCTTCGATTGTTGCTCTCATCACCTCTACCTTTCTCGACTTCTTGCTCGAGCCTCGATTGACCAACCCGAGAGTCGTTCTTTCCCTTTTCGCTCGCTCACAAATCCAATATCTGTTCCCTGGCAGCATCGAGAATGCTGGCAAACACGTTCTAGATGATCGGCAGCTGATCAAATGGTGGTGTCGAATTCTTGATAGAGTTCGACGCAACCATGAAGGTAACACTCTTCAGCCCTGCCAAACCAGTGCACATCTGGTGGTTCCTGGATGTGACAAGGGAGAAACGAAGGCATTCTTTCCTCCATCCAGCCGCCAAGATTCAATATCCGACTCAAAATGGATTAATTCATATCCCGTGGAACTTCTAGTGGAAGACAGTTCGGTTCCTCCGAGGTACTTGATTCCCCGCTTGCCAGACGACCCAAAATCACGGTTCCTTGACGACTTGGATGGTGACTACATTGATGAAGGGGGAAAATGGCGAAGCATCAAAAGTCTGGATCAGTTCTGGGAGATGATGTCTTATAGACAAGAATGCTCCGCCGGAAGATTGGTCGGGTTTGTGTGGGTAGTCTTCTCATACGGTAAAGCTGCCCATGCGTCTTCGAGGACACGTGTGCAGAGTAGTCAGACGGAGTCAGGGCAGCCGCATCTCCAGTCGAGTTTGCTGACGCCGAATAACTCAGAGCTGCAAAGGAACGGCACCACGGCTTCTGATGCTCTGCCAGAGCCTGACCCCAGGATCATCCCAAAGCTCAACTCGCCACCGCAATCTTCACCAGTTGGACCAGGTCAAATAGATACCTTGGCAATTCCGTCTGATGGAGAGCAGGTCGATGCCGCGGTGGCGTCGACCAATCAATCGACCTCGACCATGAGCGTTCCTTATCTTGAGACACGGGGCGAAGTCGTCATGGACGCTAATCAATATACGTCTTTAATGGACTTTCTTCTGCAGACAGACTTTGCTGGGGAAGAGCTTGCCGCAGCAAGTACGGCAGGCTGGGTCCAGAAAGTATTCGAGCTTTCAAGGGTCACCACATTTGGGCGTCCCATACGTGGCGAACATATCTTGGCCCAGTCGAGTGTGCCTGAAAATAAGTCATCTCAGCCAGTCAACGTACTGACCAGCATTCGCAAAAAGAGAAAGGCGGACAATTGGGAAGAGAGTGTATCGGCAGCCGAGGGGGCAGAAGTCTCGAAGAAGAAACCCAAAAACTGAAAGCTGGGATTCCGAAGATGATTTGCATATCACGAGACAGATATAGCGACACAAAGAAGGCACAGCCAGTAGGATCGGCGCCATTGGATACCAGGACGGTCCTTGGTGGCTTGACAATACATCATGCGAGATTTTTGGATATGATGAGCGGCAAAGCGAGGGACCAAAGGACTCCGATGGAACGACATAAATGGACAACGACGCTGGGCAGACGACTTGATTCGACTAGCTTGACTGGCTGGCTGCAGCAAGGGTCCTTCCTCCCTTGCTCTGGTATGCCCTGCGTTGGCCATACACGGTCCGCCGGCGTACACTGATTGGCTCGGCCCCGCCCGCCGGCCTGTCAGCGCCAAGCCCAAGGTTGATTGGTCCCCAGGAAGCGCCAAGATATATTGCCGCTTCTAAAAATGGGCTCCGTTTCGACATTTCTCTCCCGACCTCACGTTCAGGCCTCTCGGTGGTCGTCCGCTCCTCCGACCGTCGACATCCATTCATCATGGCAGATCGACCTGCAACAGGCCTGCCTCGTGAACGACAAAAGTGACAAAAATGGATTGTCTTCTTGATGCTTCGTCCCCGCACGGCGTCTGTCCTAACCCGCCCGTTTCAGCTTCTGCTGCTGCTGCTGCTGCTGCTGCGCAAGCCGGGCCAGGCTGACCACTGCAGACTCTGAGTTTTGCCTTCAGACTCTATGGCCATAATTCTTCCACATATGCCGCCCTTTGTTGTTTCTTCCATTTCTTTTCCTTGTCGTTGGCTCCGGTCTCATATTTTCTTTTTTTCTCTCGCCTCCAGCCTTGCTGACGGGTTGTAGCGTTGCTGATCTGGTCTATGCCAACCTCCGGTTGACTTTGCACTTGAATCCTGTCGCATTCCTAGCATCATGGCCGCCTTTATGGGAGCATTTCTTTTCATCTCCACCGTGGTCGCGGCGAATAATTGTTCCATTCAACCTATCTATATCGATTTTCACGACAGGGCTGTCGACGGTGGAGTTAGTACTCAGTACGGCCTGTTCACAGGGATTGGCTTCCCGACATCGCAAAATCTATCTCAATGGCCGTCATTGTCCAACAATGAGACCACTGTGGGAAGTCTGGACTACTGCAGCAGCAGTCCTTTCACCGACTGTATAAACCGAGTTCATGGCTTCTACTCCCCAGAGTTGTCCGAAGCGTGCGTATCCCCAGATATATTACCGTCGGTTACATATATTAACGAAGCCAAGGTACTCCTCCGGCTCATCATACCAATCTCTCGACGATCTCGGCTCAATACCTGCCACCATTGTCGAAACCGCATTCGACACGATCAACCTCTATACACATTACTACGATCCCTCTCCCGCGAACGTCACTCGTGTCCCAGATTTCCCGATCACAGTGCTGTCAAACTACTCCGCGGACTCCTCGCCATGGTTCGGTCCAGCAGGACTCGTCGGCCTCGGACCCTCGAGCACTGTCCTCCAGCATTTATATGACCTGAAACTCATCTCCACTCGATCCTTCGGCCTGTACATGGGCACGGAGTACGAGCAGTCAAATGGAGCGATCAACGGCTCCTTGACGCTGGGGGGTTATGACTCCGGCCGCTTTGAAGGCGAAGTCCATAACTTCACCATCAGTCAAGCCCTCCCTCAAAATAGCAACAGTCCCTTCAAGGTATCAGTCGCACAAATGACCCTCACCGCTGCAGATGGCGAGAAGACAGAGTTGCTCAGCAACAGCTTCGACGCGTCCATCACCACTTCCCAGTATCAACTCAATCTTCCGGGCGCCGTTGCTGACAAATTCGCCGACGAGACTGGCGCCACACCATCAAATGACGCGAACAACGTCCTTCGTCTCCCCGACGACTTCGATTCAACACTCACAATCACTCTCGAAAGCGGGCTCAGTGTCACTTATGAGGCTGAGTGGCTACGCAACGTCTCCAACAATTCGCCCATTTCGGCGGGGTCCATCAGCTCGTCGCAAGACAACGGAACGACCAGCACCGAAGTAAATCTCCTGGGCTCCGCATTCTTGTCCAATGTCTATTTCATGGCAAACTACGACTCCCAGCCGCCCACGTTTCACCTGGCCTTGGCTCGTCCGCACGGTCCGTATGTACAGACACAAACCCTTTGCGCCGATACCGTTCCAACGCCGGCCCCGGCAACCACCATCTCGTCATTTGCCCGTGAAGGCATCACAGGTGCAATCGTCGGAGGTGTAATTGGCGGCATCGGCCTGACATTCCTCTGCTGGTGGCTCTTACGTAAGTGGGCGCAGAGACGCATGTGGAGGAACCAAGCACGCACCGCCATGAAAGGCAAAGGCATCGACGGCGTGATTGCAGTCAAAGGCAAAGGCAGCCCGTCAACCTCTGGCGATGAAGACCGGGACAGCAGTGAGATGGCCACCTTTTCCTTCGACTTTGAATCACAGCAACATCAATCGTATCAAGCATACCTGAACAGCCAAAGCCTGCAGCAACAAGCATATGCCTCGAAGGAGAGTACGAATGTCCCGCAGTCTCAAGACCGCGCCCAAGAATACCTCCGCTCCCGCGACGATGCATACTCGTCATCCGGTCCCCTAACCCCCGCGACCGGCGTACCGCTGCTCTCTTCACAACAAGCGCCCGCGCAATCTGACCCGATCTTCCACCCTCTCACGCTCTCAAACTTGCATACGCCGCCCATCTCGTCACCGTTCGCAGTCGAAGCGTTGCGGAAAAGCAGCGAATCTACCCGCCGTCAAGCCCTCAACCTAAACGTGCAGACGGAATTCGCTCCTCCGCCGACGACGTCCAAGAACGAACGTATCACGCGAAAAGCCGTTGGCAAGGATGGCGGCAAAAAGGAGAATCTGTTGAAGAAAGTCTTTCCTCCGCCGAGTGGCGCGTCGGGGTCATGATTGTCCCGGTCTTACGCATGATTTTAAGCCGGGTGAGAGGCATTTTTAATACTCATGAACGAAGGAGTTTGTGGTATCAATCTTTCTTGACCTTGGATGACGGATGTGGTGTTCAGGTGCACATTTTTCTCTCCCGTTTCCTCTATTCGAGGGTCCACTTGGACTTGGCTTCAAAACCTGCATAAGCATCGTTCAGAATTGGGTTAGCATTTGGCACTTCTAATTAGGGGTTGATCCGTAATTTGCTCTTCATTCGCTTCACCTCACGTCACGATTGGTGGATTGATTGTACTTTATCATTTTGCATCTCGACACCAAACAAATGGGTATAAATTTGGAACCAATCTCTTCCAGAAATTGCTTTTTCGGATCTGTCTGCCGTTGCAAGCAGTTTTGCTTTGAGTTTGGCTCACTAATTATGGAGTAGTCCCGTTGGATGTCATCTTGAAGATCGACTTTTGTTGGTCTTGCTCATAGTAATTGACGGTTTATTCTTGCGTAGTGTCCTGGCGCCCTCCCCATGCAGATTAGCAACTCAGTCAGGGTGATAGAGACCCCAGTAATAACACCAAATTCTTCGCATGATGCTAATCGAGCAGTCTCCCTTTGCGAGTTTCTTCTGTTCAAGCTGATAAGTTCCAAGAGTCATACCACCGTCAAGGCCGTACCTTTCGCGTCATATGATGAAAACCCCGCAACACTATTGACACGGGCCCTTCGGCTTTCAATTTGCTTCCTCAACCTCTATTTCCTCGAGACGGTCCAGCCTTCAACTCCTCTGCTCCCGCAGAAAATGTTCTGTGCTTCTGAATTCGGGGTGTTTGAACATTGAAGTTACCCCCGAAAGCGCCGCCATACACTCAAAATGAACAACTTACCGCCACCTTCTCTCGACATGTTAGCACCAGACAAATGTCCCTCGTGAGATCGCATTGTTAGGCCCAAAATGCACTACTAAAAGTGACAGGAGAGCTGGTCCGAGTGTTGGCATGTGCATGGAGACCCGATATATCTATCTTCTCACCCCTTCATTCACAAAGTTAGATAGGCTTCCAGCTACACCAATTGAAAACCTTATTTGACCTGGGCTACGACTTGATTTCGTATGCTTGACGCGTGACATGGTACACGAAGATTTTCTGTTCGTGAACAGAACATCCGGATCATCCTCGTTATCACACTCGAGAGCCGAACCATTGATATCCACCAAAACCAATCAACATGTTCATCGATATGCCGGGCCAAAAACGAAGCAAGCAATTACTACCTCGGCTCACAAGCTCATGGGACGGAGATCAAAGGAGCATAAACCTCTTCCTGTTCATGTGGTGACGAAAAGACGTCAACACGAGAGGATGACTCGGACGACAACTCTTCTGACTCAGGTAACAATCCGACTCCAATCCTACCACTGGATCCCGTGGGCTGCTCCTTAAAAGGGGCTAATGGTACAGACCCCAATGTTCTTCAGTGCGTCGTCAAAATATGGATGCATTCCGATGCTAGAAAAAGTGGGCATCAACTTACCGAGTTTTCTTGAGTCGCATCAAGTGATGGCACGTCTGCGCAAACACGGGGTCTCCAGACGAAGCAAATCTACCCGAAAAATTCTCCTAGAAAGCCGTCAAACCCCTTCAGGAAAGCATGAAATCGAACTAGGAGCTATCTCCTCGCGTCATATCTGATTTTCGCAGAATTGTCCCAGCCACTACCGACGTGGTCAGTGATTTTTCCGAAGACTGACTCGCGACTTGATTGAAGTCTATGGTGGCCTGTACCCTCTCGACTCATTCATCACCCCAACCGCATTGGCATATGGGTATTTCGCCGTTCAAGGTGAAGTGTCCCGACCCATCCTCGATCCTGTACGCGACCGACGACTGTTAGAGGTTCCCGAGGATCCCGAAACTGGAATTGAAGATTCGAATTCTAGTCGACGACCTCCAACTCCTGACTGAAATCATAGAGGCTATTCAAGAATTTCCACCGCCTGTCGTGAAGCAGAGCGCCGCCATTGGTCGCCAACAGACGGACGCTAAGCCAAGCTTCAAGAACGTTGGTTTCCATAGCACCATCATCATGGCGGCAGACGGTCTGTATATGAATGTTTCGACGACCAGCACGTCGAATCTGGTTGTGGTACAGCACATTAGCTTTCTATGCACCGATTAGCGGCCGGTCTCCAGAGGCAAAAATTATCGAAACGCCCGAAATCATCCTCCAGGATGCGTCTCAGATTGCCAACACCCTCACCCGAATTGATAACATGCTGAATGAAAGAGGCTGGACCATGAGAGAGGACATGGTATTCTGGATCAGTACACTAGACGTACTGGTCTCAAAGACAGGGGCATGAGTTTTATGCCTCGTCAGTTGGTTCACGCGGACAGCCGCCGAGCTGAACTTCAAAAAGGCTGGTACCTTTCACGCTGATCGGTGATTCACCTACCTTTGAATCAGATCCGGGCCAATGCCATAGAAGAGTTGTGGGAGATTGTCAGGCGTGGTCGGGAATGGTGGAGTTCCTCGCTTGGAGACTGGACCGCTTTTTAAAAGAACAATATGACCAGATCAAAATCGAAGGTTGAAAATCCTACCTCGCTTTTCCAAGACCGAAGTCTCCCGACTGCAAGCCTCAACTACGGCCAAAATGGGATACATCGCGACGCATATACGTTCCCTGGTTCGGAAAGAATATTTCATCGCCGTACGATCTGACGGTGTTGACTGGTCGAAAGAGTCGTGGTTGACGCAGATACCAGGAACAAGTGCGATTCCGAGCCTTCTCAATGAAGCCGCCTGACAGAAGAATGGAGAACATATGCACAAGGACCGTCGACATCCAGGGACACGCTTCTGCATATTTTGCAAGATGAAGAAGGGAGGTTCATGCGATGGCATGAATATGAATACGGGGAACATGTATGTAATATCAATGTAAAAGTCGTAACACGTACATCATAAGAGAACACGCAACTAATAATCAACGTCGATAGCCTTCATCACAGATATCCACACATCGACCGTTTTTTCTTCAATCTCAAGTTGAATAAACTTTGGCGTGAGTCGTGGTTGGGAGCGGCGCGCTGCCAGTGGTAACCTGATCGATCACATCACCCGAACGTATAGATAAGAAGACAGATAAGACATAGGGAGAAAAAGGTAATAAATGAACGTCTTCGTCCACGCCCTTACTCACTGCACGTGCAGTCATCCACAACAATTTCCTGACAATTTTCCACTGTGTGGCCGCCATCCACGGCAGTGTATGCCCGAACTCTTTATGTCTTGCGATGTGTTGGCCGAGGTCAGGGCCGGAGGCCGAACATAGCGCCATGTTAATCGTATACTTCGCCATTTAGCTGAAGATTTCCCCAAACTCTCCTCGCTCCCATCTCCGAAGGAGGGCAGGGTTGAGGTGACTGCGATCGTAACCAATCTCGACGACCATGCCGCGGATCTTGCACTCTGGAGTAGGATTTCCGTCAGTTAGAGATGTGTTCGTTGATTTCATCATCTACATCTAGCAGAGAGATTTCTTTTTGAGGGGGGGCGCCACTCACTTGGGCTGTTCAGTAGGGTATTTTGTTGAAATACAGTAGAAGTCAGATCTGGTCGGAAAGATTGATCAACTGCCCTCGCGTCCAGATCGGGAAGAGCTGAGAAGGCAATTAGCCCGATCAGAATGCTGAGATCACCTGCCAGTCTACAGCGCCGCCCCTCAGTTTCTTGAGCGGTCTGTTCCGCCATGCAGACGTCCGGAAGCAGTTGTTCAAACCATTCGTCTGGTCCGGGTAAGTGAAGCTTGTAATCTCCCATATGATAGCCGATTACTGCGAGGTCATCTCTTCCTAGCCCTTCATTGTATCCAAAGGAAAGGCGTCGCCAGAGGTGGGGTGTCGAGGACAAATGAGTTGTTGTACAATCAATGGGGACGATGAGATAGCCGTGGCGGTCCGGGCACCAGAACATTGTGCAGCTTCTGTACGCTTCTCGGCAGAGCTCTTCCTCTTCGGTGGCTCTGCGCACGTATTGGAAATTGTCTGGATGGTATTGAAATGGTCTAGGATCCCAGATGTACCACCCCGAGGTTTGCTCTCTTCTAAAATGCTGCCGATCCTGCGGTGGTGACCAGTAGAAGTTTGGGCCATCTGCGGGGGGTGGGATATTGGGATCATCAATGTGCCGGATATGTTCAATGCGGAAGAAAAATGGCTGGGAGAAAGGGTATTGAGCCATTACGAGACTGAGGGGGTTTCAGAAGGTCAAAATCAGATCAGAAGGACTGACAAGAGGGCTTTGCAAACAGAAAGGCGCTCTCACGCCACCGGCTTACTATCAGGGATAATATAGAGTAATGAGCAGCGTCAAAAACGGGCTGAACCACAGTTCGCTGGTCATGCCGTTCACGCGCAAGTTGTGCCGAATCGACAACCCTTGGCATGCAGAAGAAAACCTACCACGTAGCTGATGCCGAAGAAGGGACAAATTGCAGGAGCCAAAGCAGGTCTTAGCGCCTCGAATGGCGGCAAAGTGGTAGGACAGCAAAGGCTCACCTTCGGGCTTCAATGTCCACTGTCGATCAATTGCATTGTCTGAGAGGGAGGATCCCAACTCCCACAAAACCCGCCACACAACAGCCAAGTGGTTTATTCTGAGGAAAGAAGACTGAGCGCCTGAATCACGGGTACCATCGACGACCTCTTTTTTGGAAACGGATAAATAGCCCGTTGGAAACGGTTGGCGGGAAGGACATCTCCCGTGTGGGAAATGAAAATGGACGGTCGACTTGGTTGGCACACGGGTTTGAAGCACCATTGACTGACCCACATGCACCTGGGCGGATAATTCATTATTCCGTGCGATGCGGCTCTGCGGAAATACTCGGGGTCGTGATGTATAAGTTCGCGCTTGCCATCGGGTGGACGGTATGTCGGGCCCTTCGATACCCTTCTCTCTATCTAGGCGGATTAGTAAAAGCCGTGAATTTTGGCGAGCCAATGAGAAACGAGGAACAAGAACTAAGCCTGGCGCAGGTAGGCCTGGATTCCCAACAGGGATTGAAACATACAAAAAGAAGGGGGACGCTGTTCCCTGCTGGTGTGGAGGTGCACCGTTTATATGTTTTTTGCTTAACCAAGGTCTGCCGAGTTCAGATGGTGAAACTGCATCAGGTCACCTATCAACCCTCAACGAGGTGCGTTGGCGTGGCGCTAGTGGTTGCCTTGTTTGCCTTTTTTCCTCTTTGCGCCTGATCGGTATGGGAAATTTGCTAGACTTTCTGCAACGGGTTATTGACAGTTGTTCTAACTGGTTCCCGGAGTTCTGGGTGCGGCTGGCGAGTCGAGCCCGTTCATGTTTTGAGGGCTGCGGCAGTTGCAGTGGTCACGCACGGAGATGATCGAGACTGGATCACGCGTATGTGAGGAGACTTTCTCCGACCGGTGTGTCGAGAATGAGAGAAAGGCGCCTTGGCACTCAAGGTCATCGAACGAGACCGCCGCAAAGCGCGACCATGGCCGGGCATATGAGCTGATTGTTGGCCAATCGGAAGATGGATTTAGGGATTCTGCGTCTACGGATGCAAGCTCTGGCACAGGTTTTTGGGTGATGGAGGTTTCTTTCGGGCCAATGACAGCAAAGAAGTCTCCGTCCATCAGTCTGCCTGGCGGGTGATGAGAACGCCAGGTATTCCTCAGGGCCAGGCTCTTTTTGGCATGCTGACGAGACTCCAATCTCCTTCGGCTCGAGCATCTGGACGCGGTGTTCAGGAGGATGATAGTAATAAACGAAGAGAATCGAAGTCGAAATGACGTTGTCGATGCCAGAGGTCCGCAGGGGGAGATCGAATGCTCGGCCCGAGCGAGAGCACACAAAGCAGTATCAGTCAGCTGGTATCATGCGATGAAGACGTGAATTGAGGTCGAGGACGAATGGCTAGGCTTTTATAGGGATTTCTGGAGTGGAAAGCTCGCTGGATGAAGGGGGAGGTCAAAATAGAATATTAGCCTTCTGCGGGTGCCTCTTCCGAAAAGGGGTGGGCGAACGTGCACATGGGCTTTTTGACTGCACCCAGTCCCGACCAACCAAACAATTTCACCATCCGGAGACTTTTAGCATCATGCGGCCATTGTCATCGATCCAATGCAGATTTTGAGGTGCGAACTATATATGAACAGGCCGGCCTCCATCCACCCAAAACGCCAACACCAGCATCGTACCTAGATGCAACTGGGAAACCACGGTCGGTAAGTGTGAGTCTCGGATCTAGTCTGACCTTCTCGTCATTGAAACTTAGTATCTCGACGTGACATTGAACCCGGACATGGTTGCCTTAGTTCATTTAACTCCTATTTTTGACCCCGAGCTTTGGTTGGTGATGGTAGGTGGATTGGATAAAAACATTGTGCCACGAAAGAAAGAGGAACTCAAAAAGATTTCAATCAAACAGCATCATGAATGCCTATGCCACCAGCCGTATCACGGCATTTGCCTGTGTAGTCCAGTACGTCTCGCTTGCTGTGTCCTTAAATCATGTTTTCCCAACGTCGCCCATGTCACCAAAAATCCATGCGGGCATCCTGTTTTTCAAACACAGATCACTACAGCTTGGGGCTGAAATATGGCGCTCAGAAGACATCCGCGCATCCCCAGTATTGCTCAACACCGAATTGACCTGGCTCCTTCCATGGCTCATCCTCGAAGCTTAAGAAAACGACCTGAGCACCAACGGTGGACTGAATGCCCTTGAGGGCAGTGACTTGGTTCTGCGGGCTGGGGCACGCGGCACCGTTGCAATTACCCGCGTGAGGCCATCCAGACTCCAGAACATACACGGGCTTGCCCGAACAGACGCCGTTGAGTATGTTGATCTGGTCTTGGATGAAAGACCCAGCTTTGTCGGCAGTCACAGCCGAGTTGAAGAATGCATACAAGTTGGCGCCAACAACATCGACGACGCTGCAGAATGACGAAGAGCTGCCCGAATCTTCCCACACAGACAGAGGCTCGGTCAAGGTGACGAGGCCGGTGTAACCGGCAGCCTTGAAAGCAGCAGCACTGCTCGACACAAATCCAGCCAGCTCAGAAGCGGAGCAGTAGCCATTGAAAACGGCCTCGTTGCCGACAACAATCAATTCAACGAGATCCCACTGTGCCCACGCAACAATGTCGTCGACCTGGCCCTGGGCAGCGCTAATTCCAGAAGACGAGATCCAGACACCCAAAATGAGCTTCAGACCGTTGTCGCGGGCAGAGGATCCAATGTTCTCCAGAGTGCTGCAGTCAGTGCTGTACACACGGACGGAGGAGAATCCCTTCTGGGCGATGACAGCCAGGTCAGCAGCCACGGTACCGGCGTCTTTGCAACCACCCTCGGCCGTATACGGAGAATAGGTCATGCCCCACGAGTCACCATTGGCCGTGATTCCGGGGCTGCCACCACTGGGCGTTGGATAAGAGCTCGAGCTGGAGGCGGAAGAAGAGCCGCTGGAAATAGACCATGACCATGAAGCTTCGGTACTCGTCGTGGCAACAATCGTTTCAGAAGACCAATCCGCCCAAGTTCCCGTGGTGGTGAGGTCGACAGGTGTAGGGGTAGTTGTCGTGGTGGTCGTGGTGGTCGTGGTAGTGGTTGTAGTCCAATCGCCCCAAGCCATGACCGAGGTGGTGCTAGAACTAGATGTTGTTGTCGCCGCCGCCGCGGGAGTTGTAGAGGTGCTCGTTGTCCAGTCACCCCAGCCCTTGCTAGAAGAGGTAGAAGAAGACGAGGAGGAAGTGCTCGAGGTGGTTGCGGGGCCGGCAGGGGTGGGATACCCTAGAAACGGTATGTTAATAACTACTTACCAGCTACCAAAGCAAACTTACAAGTTGGGAAGCCATAAGAAGTGATGACGGAGACGGCACAGCTGCCGGGATCCACAGTCCAGGAAGGTCCGAACCAACCTCCAGATGACCAGCCAGGCGTAATGGTCGAAGTGATCACGCTGGTTACCACAGCGGAAGAGGAAATTGAGGTCCAATCAGCCCAGGTGGTGGAGCCGGTGGTGACAGGCTCAACGTACTTGGTGGTGGTGATGGTTGACTCCAAGGTGATGGTGGTGGTCTCCTCTACTGAGGTCCAGTCGCCCCAAGTTTCGGTAGCTGACTCGCTGGAAGTGGTCGCAGGATCAGCAGGAGTCGTCCAATCCCCCCAGCTAACGGTCTCGGTGCTGGTGGCGGTGATGGTGGCCGGATCGACTGGGTCGCTGCTCCAGTCAACCCAGGTGTGTTCAACGCTGGTCGTGGCAGCAGGATCCTCAACAACGGAAGAGACGCTGGTCCAGTCGGCCCAGGTGTGTTCGACACTGGTGGTAGCGGCAGGATCCTCGACAACGGAAGAGACGCTGGTCCAATCGGCCCAGGTGTGTTCGGCACTAGTGGTAGCAGCCGGATCCTCGACGGTGGACGACGTTGTGGCCCAATCACCCCCGTTTACGGTCTCCGTGCTGGTGGCGGTACTAGGGTCTTCAACGGTGGATGAGGTGGAAGTCCAGTCGGCCCAGACGTGGGTGGACGTTGTGCCGGTCGTGGCAGCAGGATCTTCAACCGTAGAGGAAGTGGTGCTCGTCCAATCTCCCCAGGTCACGGGAGACGTTGTGCTGCCAGAGCTGCTGCTCGAGGTGCTGGCTGGATCTACGGGGGTGCTACTGCTGGTGCTGCTGGTCCAATCTTCCCAGGTCATAGTCGTGGTGGTGGTAATAACGTTGCTTGATGTGGTGGTTGTGAGGGGGTCTACAACCAACGAAGTCGAAGAAGTGGTCGCATTCCAGTCGACCCAGGTGTCGCGAGCGACGTTTCCGTGAAGTTTCGCATGCACGTGCTTGACATGACCAGCGGCGGAAACGGTGGTGATAACTGCTGCACCAGCAGCGGCAATGGTAACGGCCCTCATGTTGTCGAGTCCTTCTCTTTTCAATGCTCTTATTGGGTTTTTGGTTTTATTTTCTTTGGATGGCGGTCTCGTTCACTGTGGTCGATTTTGTGTTTGCAAAAACGAATGCCCGCGAAAGGAGTGGCGCGGTAGTGGGAGAATTGCGAAGCGAAAGTCGGAGGACGAAGCTCTCGAAGAACTCACTCAGTTGACCATGCGTAGAGCCTTGTGGAGGAGGAGGAAGAGGAAGTTTGCGAACGACGTGACAAGGTGCATATAGCTGTGAGCACGGTGCAACGCGAGCCCGGGATCCGGTTTGGCGTTGGTTTGATGGGGCCAAACACCAAGTTCCCACAGGAGGGCGCTAAGGGAAATGGGCAGAGCTGGCCCAAGAAAAGCAGTTCAACTTACAGTACTGCAACGTTCCCACGTAAGTCATAGCGAATCTTAAGATGAGCTCGAAAGAGCATTCGGTCTTCCGATGGTGGTCCGCCAACCCTGACCAACTGTATTGGCTGGAGGAGGCGTATCCCAACGTGAGAGATGATCCATGGCAAGCGAGAATGACCATGATCAATCTGGAGAGAGTTTTTTGGGTCCTTTCTTTTTGCTCTCCATGATGAGCGAGGAACCAGTAAAAAACGTGGACATGGTCAAGCTCCGTCACGAATATAATCAACCAGCCGGGCTTTCAGGGCGGTGGGATGTGATAGGAGAGACATTTCGGCAGCGAGCAGGGCTGGGCAACGGGGGTACTGAAGAGATTGGGTTTCTGAAACAAGCCACTCACGGGGACCCTCTTGGTTGGACGGGGAGGACCGTGGAAATATGAAGCTGATGTTGGCGAATGGTCGAGGCAGAGGTGCAGGCACGAAAAAAAAGGGGCTCCAACGGAGATTTAACGTCCGGCACCAAACCAACTTCATCTTAGTACAATGCTTGGTTTGACGCCATTAAGATTGCGTTTTGTATGTGAGACTGCCAGCGATTCCCTTCGAAAGTTGTCTCTCCTTTGACTTTGACCAAAGAACACCGAATACCTCGCTACCGAAGCAGCTCCGTGTCAACATCAGGCTTACGACAGCCTCTGGAATATACGGGGTTTGTACCCAACCATCGAGATTGACTTTTCTGGTTGTTAAGAAGAATTGAGATCCGCTCTCATGTTGACATGGGCTTGCACCTGTCTTTTGAGGCTTTGACTTGCAATTTCCGTGGGTACTATTCGCTTGTAGCTTTGTTCCTGTCTCCACCGCAATCGTCAGTTAGTACTACCTCAATGCTCAAGCCTTTCAACAATGGCCCAACAGAAGGCAAGTGATCGACGTTGCGGGTAAATCACACGTCTGGGAGAGGAGAAAAGATGGGAAAACGAGTGAAAAACTAATCAATTCCAACACTCCCAAAAGTCAGGAAGAGGAGACTTGATCTTATTAGCATTGCCCATGACGCTCTCACTTGGAAATTTGCTTTGTTCCTGTCACTCAACCTGTCAACAGATAGAACGCGGGCATGCTTCTGGAAATCCTATGCCCCACTCGAATAGCGCGAGGAAGAATTGACGATGACTGCCCTTTCCTCGCGGCTACGTTCAATCATGTTTCATAGTCCGTCGATGACAAGTCTGAGGCATGTCATGTCTGATACACAATACATCATTCCGAGGTCCTGTGCACACAGATACTGCCTGTTTGCGCCTCGGTGACTTAAAGCAAGTCCCAAATCCAGATCTTCGGGTCACTTATAACGCAAGCACCACCCCCCCCCCCCCCCCATAGACTCAACCTCCTGGGCAATTCTCCCAGCCCGCTATGCCACCCATGACCACGCAGTTATCGCGTCGCGGCCGTCATCTTTCTTAATCATCATATCGAGAAAAGCCCTCTCTGACGCCCTTTTCAAATGCCGCTTTGATACGCTCCACATCTTCTGCACGTTGGTCTTTCATCCAGGCGGTATTGCGCACGTACTTCTCCCTGAATCTCTCGCTTTCTTCCATCTTTCCTGTTTCGTACGCCTTGCCGCTGGGCCTCTCGAAAGCCTTCCGTCGGACGAATCCGAAATCATTCTGAAGTAGAAGCTTGTATGACTCAGGGCTGATAAATGCAGTCTGTTCGTCAAAATGATCCAGGTCACCGTATACTTCTTGGTATGCCGCCTCAATGTTCGCATTCTGAGGAGCAATGTTCCGTCGCAGGAATGGACTGTGCATTCGTGACTGATCGACTCCTTCGGTAGCATCCGTCATCGTGTACGATGCGACATAATACTGCCATCGAGCTTCGTCCGAAAGGGTGTCATTGTCAAAGGTGGCATCTTCCGAAGGGAAAAGCCGGATGGTGCAAAGTCGATCTTGGGGTGTCTGTTCCATATATATTAGTCAGGATCACGACGGGGCGAGAAAGAGAGAAATTGGCTTACGAAGCTGATGCGGTAGACCTCACCGTCCTTGGACAGTCGCTCGACCTGCTTCCGGTATTGGATTTCCTGCTTTCGGGTGGTGTCTGGGCGTTCCCGATCCTTCATGAATAAGTTGGTGATTTCGACACTTTTGTCCTTAGCATCGCCACCTAAGATGTTCATGATGAACCGTAGAATGGCTGACACAAGTCTGTCAATTGTGTACAGTTGCCAACCACTTTTGTTGTAGTAACGTCGCAGCGTCTCCTCGAGATGGCCAAGATCCCCACTGCCCACGAGGACGTCTTCACACATCTGCAGAATCTGGCTATAGTAGTTTTGCTTTCCATCGATACTGAAGAAGAAAAAGTCCGGCCCTTTGTCGATCATGCGCAGTTCAATGGCAGGCTTGACTCTTCCATTCGTGCCTTTGTATCTGGCAACAGCTTCTTGCACATTGGCCTCATTGAGCTTGATGGCGAGCAGTCGACTGTACATAGCCTCGAAAAGTCGGAAGAAGCAATAGATGTTAGCATTGGCATAGAAATTGAAGGTTGTGTGAGGGTACGCTTCATCCATGGCCAGGTGGCGTACTGATGAATTGCCATGGGCAACATTGATCCAGGGGTGCTGTGGGGTTTCAGGCGTCTCAGAGGCTGCGGTGTCTTCGTCGAGTTCCATCTCACTGCTGACGCCCGGCATGGGGCTGGACTCTTTACTTGCAGATGCCACGCTATCTTCTTTGCCGTGTCTCCTTTCAAGGGCCAGCCGCCGAAGCCAGTCGGACTTGCGTTGAGATTTGCCTTTGGCGGGAGGATGAGTGTCGCCTTCAGGGTCATCTGCGCCTTCATCATGATCTCGATTTCTCAGAGCGGGGGTCTCCAGCAGTTCGTGGAACTTTTCTGGGTCGAGACCAAAGAATCGAATGACGAAATCCGTGAACCATCCACGGATCCTCTCTTGTTCTCCACCGCTGTATTGAACACGATCTGAATCCAGCGATGCAAGGATTAAACGTGTCGCATCAGCGATGACATCGAGGTCATTAAACGCATACTCAAGCTGGTGCTTCTTTGTGGTAATGCCATTCTCGCGGTTTTTCCTGGCCTCTTCGTACTTGGCTTGGATCTCACTTGTCAATGTCTTCTGCTGGAAATTCTTCTTGTCGAGGTTCTTGGCATTGATTCCTTGATGGTCAAGACTCTTCCAGAACTGTTTGTGAATCTGGTCGCGCCAAACCTTTTCCCATTCCCGTTGGACCTGCTTCCATTCTTCAAGTTTCTGTTTCAGCCTCGAGAGGACAATAGGGAGGACCGCAGTGGGGCGTGCGAACATTTCTTGCATGACTCTGGCTCCAACATCGCGGCCATAAATCTTCATGATAATGCGCTTGGGGATCGCTTCGCTAGCACCGCCCAGGCCAGGTTGGAGAATAAAGGCAGCACGGTCTGCTTCACTCATGACACCAATTTGTTGGACGAGCGGCTCCATGAGTTGGATCGTTCGCTGACATGACTCGATGTGGAAGTCATAATCATGGCGTTCTTCCTCGATCCGATGCAAGGCTTCTTCGTACTGGTTCTTTCGGTGTGCGACGAATCCAGAGTCCTCAGAGGCCCAGGTTGGATGAGAAGCCCAAACATCATTCAATACCTCGTAGCACATGCCATCCCGGCCCTTACAGGGTTTGTTCTGATCGCGCTTGGGCAAATGACGATAGCTGGGACCAAGAGCGCGACAGTGCGACAGATTCACCCGACCGGGATCTGGTCGAGCACGAGCTTCCACCACCTCGTCTTGCTCCTCGATGCCAAGGAAATTCTTGAACCAGGTCATCAAGTCCGGATTGCCCCCAATGAAGGATCCAACTCGATCAGCCAAAGTATACTTGTCGATGAGATCTTGTGTATAGAGATTGATGAGCTTCAAAAACTCGGCATAACCGGCGCGATTCCCAATCTGCTTCTTGGCGCGGTCGAAAAATCCGAGTTCTTCTGGGGTAGTAGACAAGCTTGGGAAAGGCGGAAGGGGTTCGGGCAGTTGTGGGACAAGTGTCGGGGAGGTGACTACAGGTTCGGCGGGAGGCTGACGCTGAGTCGCAAGTTTGGGACGCTATGAGTGAAGTTAGTGAGGCGAGGAGGACGAGGTGATGGGGCAAGAAGCGAAGCGATGGTGGGGGAGGAAGGTATCTGCGACAGTTTGAACCACATACCTTGATAGCATTGCCGACCTGGACAGGCCCCGTGCGCGGTCCTTGAGTGACTCCGGCTTCAACAGCTGGCTGCGTCGTGGTTTGACTCCCAAGAGATGTGCTAGGCCCTGCGCGGCGTTTCTTACTGTCTTTGCTTGTAGTGGGGGGATCGAATTGGCCCATCGGCGGCATTTTGGAGGCCGGTCTTGGTGTCTGGGCCTGAGGAACTGAGCCAGAAGTATAGTTTGGTTCTCCGCGAACGTTGCTGGTTTGTTCTTCCTGGCCCATCACACGGGAAGCTTGGGCTTTGCCGTGGGCGGCGGACTCGGGAAGAAATTGCTTGAAATCTTCGAGCAGATCCGGTGCAGATATGAAGAGTTGGGTAACCTGGGCGTAGACATCTTGGATGGGTTTGGATTCGCGCTGGTAGGTTTGTAGAATCTCGAGAAATTGCTTATAGATCTCAGGTTGCTGAGCAAACCGATTCTGGCCAAGGTTAGCAATAGGGTATGGCGGAAACAACGGGCGTAGAACAATACCTTGATCTTATTCACGTAACTAATCGCATGGTTGAATTCAACTGGTCCGCCACGCTTTAATTCACCCAATGCTGAATTTCCTGCAAACCCAGCGGTTTGCTGAGGATACGCACCAGGCTGGCCTGGTCCAGGGGAAACTGCCAGCGCCGGTCTTGTCGCGCCATTAGTCACGGCAGTCACAGCACTTTGAAGAGTCGAGACACCACGCTGTTCCTGTTGACTCATGGCATTAGGTCCTTCATCCACGGGTCTCTCGCCAGCCACCGGCTTGTACCCGGGTAGCTCAGCCGATCTTGCACCAGGTGATGTTCCGAGCGTTTGGCCCCACCCATGTCGACTTTCAAAGGTATCTTGACGACCTTGTACGGGTGGTGCGCCTTGGTTGGCCCCTGTAGATTCAAAATGTGCACGGCCTCTGCTTTGCAAAGACTGCGTCATTGTTCCACTCGGGGTGGTAACTCTGATTGCATCTGGATTCTCCTCAGTCCCACACTCGATGCGATATCCTGGAGGAAGGAAGGTGTTGAATCCCTGAATGAGTGCAGGATGACCGTTGAACAGATTTGAGACTCGCTCGATGACTCCAGGTGTATCGATAGCCTGACTCTTGAAGTCTTTCATAATGTCCAGGAATCGGTTGTACACATCGGGATGATCACTGAAACGCACTTTGACTTGGTCAAGATAGCTGAGAGCATCGTTCAGGATAGGCTGTTGGCCATGTGCAAGTTGGGCCGGAGCTGGCATTGGGGATGGGCCGGGCATGAAGGCTTGACCTTGTTGTGGCTGCTGCTGCTGCTGTGGTGGTGGTGGTGGTGGTGGTGCCGGTGCCGGCGCCGGTGCTGGTGGTGGCGCAACTTGTTGATGCATATACTGAGAGGACCTCTGAGGTTCGTGTTGTGCAGGCCCGCCAAAGAGATTGTTGCCCGCGGATGGTGCAGGGCCATTGTGTTGAACTGCGCCAGTACCACCGTTTGCCAACAGACCATTCGGGCCGTGAATGGAATTTTGCACCTTTGATGCCACAGGTTGATGTATTGGGATGGACCCAGCATGACTTTGCACTGGGCGCTGCTGTTGATGTTGCTCTTGATGGAGGCGCTCCATTTGTTCTCGTTCACGAGCTTCACGCTCTCGTTCACGCATCATCATCTCATCTCGCTGTCTTTGGAGCTCGATGTTATTTCGTTCTCTCATCTCCCTCTCTCTCATTTCCCTCTCTCTCAATTCTCTCTCTCTCATCTCTCTCTCTCTCATCTCCCTCTCTCTGAGCTCATGCTCCCTCATCTCACGTTCCCGCATCTCCCGCATCTCCCGCATCTCCCTTTCTCGGCCAAGATACTGGGGTGAATGTTGGGGCATGGAGTGTCCTAAAGGACCCATTGGATGACCTTGCGGTTGAGGTGGAGGAGGTGGTTGGGTATTGTATTGATGTTGTTGTTGGTGATTGTGGGGGCCTTGGGTCAAATCCGCGATGGATAGACTGTGGCTTCCTGAAGGCTGAGAATGATGCTGGTGGTATGATGACGGCGGAGGCAGGACGTGCGGTGGTGGTTGTGAAGGCCCATTTGGACTGTGTAGATCAATGTCAGTTAGCCAGAACTCATTTATGACATACGGGCCGAAGTCGTAATATGAGATGGAAGAGGGTGGGAGAAATCGCAAAGATAGAATCTTACCCAAAGCTTGCGAAAGGTCTGCCTTGCGGTTGCGGCTCACTCTGAGGAGGGCCTCCGGGGGCACGCCAATGATCGCCTGGATTTTGGTTCATGGCTGCAATAAGCGAAACAAGAATAGATCGATGAGTTTGCTGCTGCTACTAGAATTCCGCTGCCACGCATCTCATATTTGGGGTCGGTGGGCGGGTCCACGGACACGTTGGGCACGGGAGAAATGGCGCGGACAGGGCGACAAAGCAGAGAACTGGGTGGAGGAGCGATTAGTTCTGGCACAAACAGAGGGATGTATGTAATGATGGATGTTTGGAGGAGTTCGAAGGCCCCTTTTGCAAACAGTGTTGAGCGAGAAAGGTGATCAGGGGACTGATTTTTGTTTCCCCAAAGCTGGAGGCCAGGGAGATGGAGACCTTTGGCTAGTAGTAATCGATGACGCTGGCCAGGATGCCCGTTAAGGCTAGTGGGCAATAAGGTTTAATTATCACGTGATCTACACGTGATGACGTTCACTGTGTTATGCAAGGAGGGACTCCCTCAGCGGCATATCGATGCCGTTGTCACGTAGGATTACATGTATGTAATCAAATCCTCACAGTTGTTACGAGAGGAATTTGCTGGCCAGGTTCATCAATCCAGAACCACCGCTTCCTCCTCCCTGACCTTTCAAATACATCTGAAGGGCCATCTTTGCTGCCTGGTTGATCACCGACTGCTTGTCTGTTCCACTTTGCACGTTACCCTGGCTGTTCTGCGTATCAAACAGCTTCGATGCTTCTTGCATCGCCATTGCAATCATCTGGGACTGAGATCCGGATCCGCCAGAACCACTTCCGGAGCCGGTGAACATCTTCAAGGCCTGCATTGCTGCTCCCCGCCCAAGACTGGAGGCATCGTGTTGTTGGCCGCCACCACCCCGCTGATAGAGCTGCTGATGACTTTGCTGGATTCGGCCTTCATCAATGTCCTCGGATACAGCACTGTGCTTGTTGTCGTTCAGGAAGGACATGGCTTGGGAGAAGAGGCTGGAATCCCCGGAATCATGTTGTCGGCTGTGTCGCATGATTTCGTCCTGGTCAAAGTCGGTGGAGCCACCACCGCCAGAGCTTCCACCATCTACTTCATGACGACGTTCCTCCCCGTAGCCTCCGCTTTGCCCGCCGCCATACTCATCCCTCCCTCCATATCCTCTTTGCTGTCTCCGATCTCCATATTCGTCATCACGGCCGCCGCTTTGTCTTTCATACCCACCACCTTGCTGGCTGTCATCGTAACGCTGACTCTGGTCATAATAATTGTTGCCGTCCCGGCCGCCCCCGCCGTATTCACGAGGATCCCCGCGTCGGTCATCATTGTAGTAAGACATGCTGGCTTTTGAGATCTTGAATCAAAATGTAATTGATCGATTGGGGTGAGAGGTTCCCGTGCATGAGGGAGCTTGGAGAGTGAGTTCCGTTTTATAAAGTTGAGGAACGGATACGTGGACCTTTCAGGGGGGAAACGAGGGGCATCACTGGTCGTACTCAGCTGTACCCACTACCTCAGCGTAAGAGACCGGCTCAAGATGAGCTAATGAGCTTGGCACTCTACTCCCCGGGCCTTGCCTGCAACGTGCAACCCACAACGCATTTGCTGGCAGGTCGTGTCTCATTTTCTCGCTACAGTAAGCTCTGGGTACCAGCAGCGGGCGAATCAACTAAATGCCGGACACAAAATACTCCCTCCATCAACATTGCTCCTGCTCCGGCTTCTACACGGGTGTGCGACGCGTACCAAAACGGCCCAACAACTTGGAGGCGACAGTCTCAAACACTGCGCCAAATGACCCACTACTGCTCTCGAGAATGCCAGAAGGCTGACTGGAAGAACGTATGCAACAAGACCTCAGCGACTGCTAAACTACTGCCTCACCCAACGCAACAACAGCGGCAGCACCCCAAGCGGCAATACAGGCACAAGCAGAGCTCCACCAAAAAGGCCTGAGTTGTCGCCATCGACGAATCATTGCATATCCTCAGGGAGAAGAAATGACTTCACAACCGTCCAGAGCAAGAGGTCTACGAGCTGCTCGTCGATGCTTACCGTCTTCGCTTGGAGGACGACTTCCAGTCCATTGGCGATGTTGACGTTGATCGCATGTGTGGTAGTGCACGGAATGGGATTGCTGGATTCCGACGTTTTCTGCATAAAGTAGAGGACAACGAGGGCTTCGCCCCCGCCCTAGAGCTTAGCGGAGAAGACAATATTGGAAAAGCGAAAGGACTCGAAGCCATGAAGCTAAACGACATTCTTAAACTGAAATTCAAGGGCGACAAATACCGAACAGGGAGCATCAACAACTGGATTGATGGAAAAGGCCATGGTCCGGTATCTGGAAGTGTCCGCAGTCAGCTTCAGTCTTACATTACGGGGCCTACCGTCCAAAAGGAGATTGCAGACCAAAATTTCCGTGCCTTTGCGGTGGTGATTGTTGGATCACGCCAGATACTTGTGAGGGAGATGGATAGGCATGGCAAGTGGGTCAGCAGGAATCACCTTGATAAGATGGCAGGGCCGGGGTCCAAAAGGAGACACTAGAAAATGAAGGGTGGCGGCTTAGCATTGAGGGAAGAAAAGCGGCGGCGCACCCAGCTCTACGAGTTCTGGATACAAGACGTAACACGAAGAGAGTCAAGATGGGATGCTACGCAGGAAGTGCTGAAGAACCCCTGAATACGTAATCCTTGGCACATGGTCCCGTGACAGATCATACTCGAAAGGGCCGAGCCGTCCAAACCGGAGGCGCATTTCCCGGCAAACTTTACAAGCTCAACGCAGGTTGCAGGGAAATTTCCCGCCGAATTTGGCGGTCAGTGCCGCCGCTTTTGAAGACTTTCTTCCCTCCATGCCAAGAACGGGAAATCCTCATTGAGCTTCTTGCCCGTCCAGGCTTAAGGTGGGCCCACTTTTACTTTACCCCAGGCTCCAGAGCTCCGGCGCTTGACCCCTGTCAAATTTGGGTGCAACTCGAGATGTATTGAATGCTCTGTTCTCTATCTACTTGTCGAGGTATTGAGGATTCTTTTATAGACATGCGAATAGTACGTCGTTACGCAGAGCAACCATCAGTAACGTCGTCGTCTATGGAAACCTCTCACCAGTGTTTCAGCTGTGGAGCCTACACACAATAGCCCTTTATTCAACAACCCCACTAGACAGTCTCATCTGACGTCCATTCTTCTTCTTTCTCCTTCTTATCTCTTCCCCCCTTCTCGTGATCGCCGATGCCACTCTTCAACGACAAGACAATCAAGGCGGCGCACCAGCCCATTCGGTGCGTTTCCTAAAATTATCAATATTCCCACCAAACCAATTTATCATCACGCTACAGTTATCACAAGGATTACACAAACTCTTCCACACAACGCCCGAACACATATCCTGATAGTCGTCTATGTAAACAAAGTCCTGTTGGAGCGCAAGCCCATAGCAGGTTTCTTCGGCAGGATTGTGACCTCTACATCGTTAGTCACCAATTAGCAGTGGACACAGCGTAAGAAGGATCATAAAACGTACATCAATAAGTCCAGGAAAGGGTACGTTTCGGCACAATTGCCAAACCTTGTGGAGCCCGTCCCTTTTCTCTCGATCATTGGCGAATTTTCAAAGTTATAGCCGGCCTGTTGCAAGGGATTTCCATCGACGAGAACAAATCTTGCATATTTTAGAGCATACTCCCACGTGCCCGTCAACTGAGGTGTCCAATTGTATCCTGCTAACGATGAACCTAGGAAGAACCGAGTAGGTTTGCTAGAGTCGCTCAACGGTGTACACCAGGTGCATTGAAACATGTAGGGAATGTCGCATATACCGGTCCTAGGATGGGTTCCTGCAATCAGGCGGCACCACCGACCATATACCGCTGTCATGGGGAGATAGAAGTTCCGTTTTGTCGCACTATCAGGTGCCGGACCCATGAAGGACAGAAAATGCCCTAGCAGATCGAACGGGCTCCAGTACTCGCTGCCATTATGGATATGTTTCATCACACTAAATTTTGATACAGGGCCTGGTGGTTGCGGTGGAGGTTGTGATTGCCCTCCTCTCCCTCCTCGCCAGGCTGGGTTTAAGACACGATAGATGTGTTGGTCTGGCGATAAGTCGGATCCGGCACGGAAGTCTGCTCCATCGGGATGACTGCAGGTTTGAAAGCCTAAGGTTAGAACAGAGGATTACTGGGTAATTGGGCCATCTGAGGAATTAATTCTTACCTGAGCCGCAAGAGATGTCCTCTGATGCTTTTCAGCTCGTCCACTCTGTCCAACAGTACACCATACTTGTTAGGATCACTGACAACATCTTCGAGAAATTCATAGGTCTAGTTATGGTTGTTAGCGGCCGTTTTGGAACTGGCAAGCTCGTGTTAAGTAAATAGGTACCTCTTTCCGGCTCCAGTTGTAGGCGTCTCGCAGGTCTAGCTGACCATTAAATGGAGAAAGGAGACTTTCTGTCATTGTAATCACGACCCAATTGAATGTTGCAGACACAAGCAAATCACGAACGAATGGCCTAGTTTAATGCCAAGCCAGGTGCCTGCCTGCAACCACTCCATCCTCAACTTTGACGGACTGCGGCCGTTCTTTAATTTTCGTTCCTGGATACACTCACACCCTCTTCCGCACTGCTACAAAATTCCAGACCAATCCACGTCAAACAACTGATGGCTTCTGCGCTCAGTACTACCATTGTGTGTGCACTCCATGAGGAGCTACTATGTTTATCCTGCTGACTATGGCAAGACACCGCCAAAAGGCTGGACAGTCGACAAAGAGGAGATGGGCTACGACATCTACTGGGCTAAGGAAAGTGGCGCTGGTCAAAGAATGGCTAGAAGGCACGGCCTGGAATGGGCGAAACCGATCATGCGTTGTGATACGGATTCTGGCGACTGCCTACACATGTTTCAGTCTGGCGGCAAGTGCTACATCTGGAACCCCATCGAAGGCAATATTTGGGAGATTATGGTATCGATGGATGTGGTGGAAATTGTGACGCAGATGGACAAGTTGGGACTCAAATCGCTACCGGTTAAGAAGATAGATCAAATATCTTCCTGCTGATATTGATCACCCAGACTGGAGGCCTAAGTGTTACCACGCAGCGGCTATGCTTAGTTTTAATGCCAATGTAAAGGTAGAAGATTGAAAACGAAGGGGAAGTCGATTTAGCCCTGAAAGGACCTGTCTCTATGTTTGTTCCATTGGCCAGCTGAGCTCGCCCACCACTTTATGAGGTCTTTTCTACTGGTATCTCCGCCAAACATCCCGCAGAGGATTCATCGGCAATTTTTCCGGCCTAGCCCTGAGAGCCCTAGTCCGCTGTGGGCTAACAAGGTAAGTCTGCGTCTTATCCATCTCATGGGCCCATGCCACCGAAACATTATGAGAGACAGGGGATGCTGGCTATTCTGGCATTGACTGCGGCGACGGTGGTCTCGAGAATGAGGGGACGGCACGGGCGCTGGCTCGTTCTCTAGGGTCCTGGGGGTTCGAGGATGAGAACATGCCCAGTGGACCGAGACAGCTGCCTTCAGAAGTTCTTTGACTATCCTGCAGTCTTCTTTGAAATAGATGGCCAGCCTCACAAGCACACGCCCCACCCACCATTGGGATCATCTGGAACAGAGAATCAACATCTGCGTCCGTCCGAGCGAAATTGTGTTTTGCGAACCCCACTTTTCCTCCTTCATATTGCCGTTCGCAAGCCTCTCTTAGGGAGGCGCTGCACTTCTTTCAGCTTAAACGAGGAGACAGCAGCTGAAAAATCCACTTACGACATACCGACGTATCCCTTTCACCGGAGAGCGGCTCCTTCCTCGGAACCGCTGAGGGCCGAAATCGAAGACTCAGCCCCCTTCGATGTCGCATTTTCCAGGCGGAGCGCAGGCAGCAACGCAGGCACTCCGTCGATCACCTTGTGAGGTATTTTTGTGATTGGATGCACCAGGTGCGGCTCTCAGCTTGCTGCACCGGCCTGTGCTAAAAGATCCGCTGCGTTTTGCCATCTTCCATGGCTTCCTCCACCAGGTCGAGATGCAGAATCTCGGCACCGCTGGTGCAGCATAGAGAGTTGAATGCCTACCACAGCACGCCAGGCGATGTACATTTTGCTATTATCGGTGGCGTTGATCTCGCTGGGTTTTGCAAGTGTGGGAAGATAACCAAGGAAGTCCATTACGCGGATTTACCTTCGCAAGGCGGCATAAGGAGACTTGCTGACGCCGACACCAGTATCCTCAGGACCCTGGTCGGGTGTGGATGATGGGCGGGGTTAGCTGAGCCTGCATGTTACGTGGCCAGCGAGGTCAAATGCACCATGGAGGGATTAGGCGCATGAGGGAGCCGAAACGGATCCTCCGAGGAGGCCATGACGACCGAGGATTAGGAGGATGATCGAGGCGCACTCGGATGGACAAGGCAGATTTTGAAGGATCCGGGGGGGGGGGGGGGGGGGGGGGGGGGGGG